GTACTGTCTAAGACGGCGTATACCGAGATGTAACTTAATAATAGTATTAGAGATTCCATGTAAACGTTTCGCAAAGACATATTTGTATCTATATAAGGAATTTATTTGTTAGCAGAACGAAATATTAGTTAATGGTAAGTTTTAATATGGTATCATTGTTGCATAATATTGTTACTTAATGTTGATATTAATGTAAGAAAAATAATATAACGGATATAAGACATTCAATATTTCTTACCTAAGTGAATATCTATTCTGTATTTGTTTATTTCCACTCCTAGTGTTCGTTGTCTACCGTACGCAGAACAAATACAGCTTCTTATATAGAGATCCATTTGCTAAACAAAAAAGAATAAACACATACCAAGCAATAATATGTCACGTTTTGAAAAACATTTTATCGTCAGATTGGTTACATACGAAGGATTTTGCAGGGTAATAATATATAAATTATTGTTGGTGTACTGAACAATTAATATTAAAAAATATAGTAGATAATATGTTTCATATATTGCTTCGAAAATTTCACTGATTGTAACAAAGTTATAAACTATGATAAAACATATCGCGAAAATTGACAAAAAGAATTGCTTTAAAAACTTATAAAATAGAACAACCTTTTTTATTATAAATATGTCAGTTATAAATACGTCAATTATAAATACGGTTATTGATAAATAAATAAAGCTTGATGTGACAGAATTTGATATATTAATAATAAAATTGATATTTTATATATACATATGTATATTTATATATATATTTATATATATATATATTTATATATATTTATATATATATATTTATATATATTTATATATACATATATATACAGCATGTCTTATAACTAATGTTGCAGAGCTCATGGAGACATACAACGGGTTAAGACAAATATAAAAGTCCCATATCGTTTTGTGAGATTCGCAATAATTATCGAGTTATTAGTGACAGAAATCTGAGGAATAAGCGTGCGCCGAGACATTATGGCAGGAGCATCAAGCCAGAGTACGATGAAAAAAGTTCATCGCATTCAATCATTACGCGATATCATTTCTTTCGGATCCGATGCAGCGAAACGATTCGATTGCGATAGAAAACAATAAGAATCTCTGTAGATATCTCATCGCTCTCTATTGCTTTCTCTTTTTCGATGTTTTCCTTGATCAAAGAACTCTTGAACCTTGAACTTTACAGTTCAATATGAGCTATCTGTAATACCTCATAAAATAATCTCATAATTGTAATCGCGAGTATTTAGCGGCCATATCAGCGCAAGATTAGACGCGGTGCGACGCGACGTAGGAGTGGCGAAGTAAGAATATAAGCATCGGCGCGTTGTCCTTCCTCTCGCCGCACGCCGGCGACAGTTCTTAGGTCGACTGCGCAGATGTCCTAGCTTGATGTTCCTCTCGTAACGTCTCGACGCGCGCTCATTCCCCAGATTTCATTAAATCTGTCATTAAATCTCGATAATTATTGTGAATCTCATAAAATGGTATGGGACTATTTGTTTTAACCCGCTTTATATTTCCACAAGTTCTGCAACATTAGTTATAAGACACCCTGTATAATATAATGATTATATATATATAGAGTGTCTCATTTTAATATCCCACCCGTAATAACTCTTCATTATTGAAGTTTCAAGGAAAATGATCTGAATAAAAGTTGTAGGGATTGTATTTAAGTGAGCTACCTTATGATGACCTTGACTTTGACTTTGACCTCTATTTTCAAGATCATTTGAAGATCAACTTACGTTTTTTAAATGGAAACCCTTATTTTTTATTACACTGCTTTTTTCTACCAATTAATTTGAACAACTTGTGTCTAAAACATTTTTTTATTTGCCTATTATTTCTTGAGATATTTGAGGAAAACTTGATAACTTTTTCAATATTTAACTTACGATATCTCCCTAACTATCTCTCGGAAGAAAAAGTGATACGAAACTTTTTTGCTCTACTTGGTTTCAAGAATACATTGTTATTATAGCGCCCTAACTTTTGTTAACTTACTGACTTTTGGAAATTTTAAAATCATTAAATTAACAAAAATCAGGGCACTATTGTAACAATATTCAACAAATTCTTGAGACTAAATAAAGCAAGAAAGTCTAGTACCACTTTTTCTTCCGACAAATAGTTGGCGAGATATCATAAGGTAAATATTGAAAAAGTTATCAAGTTTTCCTCAAATATCTCAAAAAATACAAATGGAAATTATGTAAATGCTTGTTTTCGCAGGTATGATTATGCTTAATTGACTTATATATCGACGTAGGAATTATCGAGAAATATTTTGTCGATAAATATTTAACAAAAAAATATTGAATTAATCAGTTTTACTTTTGATTTTTCCTCATGATAACTGTATAAACCAACGTAATCAGCATGACATTTGAATCAATAGAAAAGAATGTTTACATACAATGGTTAGCAGTATATCTAATGATTCACGCAATTTCTTACCTTATTTTCTCAAGATTTGTTTCATTTTTCTTTTACTTATATTTAACTACATCTTTCCAAAGAAAATAAGCAAAAGGTGAAATAAATTGTTAAATTATAAACTCCGGTAACTATAATTTTATCAAACCGCAAATCTAAAATCTATTGTTAGCAATAACGGTAGCTAATTAATGCGTAGTTTTTAAATGAGGAAGTATTTATAATCTTTAGACTTATCAGACTTGGGGTAATATGCAGTCTATAAGCATACAAACTTACGTCTCTAGTTGGATTTTCAATATTAATACTAGTTATACCGTAAACTATACTAAAATTCGAATATATTTTTAAATTTATGTTTTATCTAGTTGGCAGTGAGTTATGAACTAGTAAATCATTATAAGGTGGAACATCCGAGCAATTTCGCATATCCATGTTTAAAGATTGATCATTATCGGTATCAAAGGTTTCGGCTAGCCAGAATAATGACGCACAACGAAATATCGCTTAATAATAGTAATAGAGATTCTATGTAAATGTTTCGTAGTCATATATATACCTATATGAGGAATTTATTTGTTAGAGGAACGAAATATTAGTTAATGATAAGTTTTAGTATGAGATCATTGTCACATAATATTGTTACTTAATGTTGATATTAATGTAAACAGAATAATACAACGGATATGAGAAATTATACGTACAATACTAGAAAAGACATACAATACATATATTATTTATTATTTATCATTACACAATATATATACCTTCGTAAAATAAATAAATAAATAAATAAATAAATAAATGTAAAAACAGCCTTATAACGATTTGCATATATTTTTCCTAATGAAAATTGCAGTGTTCCGTGTCGTCACAATTGAGAGACATCGCTGATACGTTTGCGCAGTAATCAGTTTAGACATAAGACGAAGTGAAAACATATGTGCCATCCGACGTTTAAACTACAATGAAGGATTCAAAGAAATATTAGTATCTTTATTACAATCTTATCCTATTATATCATATCATATTATATTATCATATTACACTATCACCTCCTATTCTATCACAACTATTTATCATGAGGACATATCATCAACGTCATTCAATTATGACAATCCAGATTGTTGCGACTTGCTTGAAAAAAATGTGTGCAGGACATTTTGCAGATAATTGAACCATATACATATATCGGGTGTTTCAGATACATATACCGGGGTCACCGGTTTTTTCATTAACGCGACAGACACGCGAGGGAAAAATATTTCAGATAAAAGTTGTAAAGCTTCAAAAGATCTATTTACTGATGCTATGAATTTGACCTTGGGATAACTTTGAAACGTCCAGTCAAGATCAACATAAAAAACTTAAACGAATACCCCAATTTTTTATTACATTACCCTTTTCTAGCAAGTAATATAAACAACTTTTGTTTGAAACATTCTTTTATTTACCTAATATTTTTTGAGATATTTAAGGAAAACTTGATAACTTTTTCAATATTTATTTTACGATATCTCACTAACTATTTGTTAGCAGAAAAAGTGGTACTAGACTTTTTTGCTCTGTTTAGTCTCAAGAATATATTGTTCCAATAGCACCCTGAATTTGGTTAATTTGATCATTTTAAAATTTCCAAAAATCAGCAAGTGTGTATATGTATCGCGTACGTGCGTGTGTCTTTATATATTTATGTATAAATGAAATGTAATAATTAAATTTAAACATATTACATGGTATATTACATAGATATTTAACTATATTATACTATATTATACTATATTATATTATATTATACAATATCTATATAACTATATATGCATAATTATACAGTAATATATATTATTATCATGTAATATATAATGTGTATGTTCAAACACATGTAAATAAAAAACCTGAGAATTTAGGAATAAGCTGATAATAAAATATGATGAAAATGCAATTATAAAACATAGATATCACAATTTTAAACATAGACAACTCAATTCACTTCCCAATTTACAACAGGCTTCAGTTTGGCCACTTTGATTATTTGAATTTTATCACATGTTGTAAACTCGCTCATTCAGAAATTATATATGTTCCTTTTTTTATTCCACTATAAACGTAAATCATATATTGCATTTTCTTAATTCTTTTCTTTTGAGCTCGTTCTATTACAAATATGTCATCTATGTTTACTTTTAATAACTGGGCATTATCTTGTGTAAAGTTTGTAATCTGGAATAAATCATTTTAATAAGTTCATAAGAGATCTCAAATTCATTTTTATCCATAACTTCTAACTTTGACGAAAAATAAGTTATCACATGCATTGCGTGTTTGAAAATGAGATGTAAGTTAATTAAGAATATTAAATGCAAAGCAAACAGAAAATACATACTATATCGAAATGTTCATCTAAATATACATTCATTATCATATTGCCTAACAATTTTGTGTTTAAAGAACGTTCTTGCCACCTAGAAATAAAAAAATAATCAAATTAATCATTAATAGAAGTTATGATTTCTCGCGATCAATCGCTGCAAGTACTTATAAAAGAAACAATCACAAGTTTATTTTAAAATAATTTCTTATGTAGTATTCCAGAAGATCAGGGTTCCTTATGTGCTTTTTTATGATAAGAAGATGAAGTCCAATTTCGTCTTTATGCAACAGCACAACTTTCATAGTCAAAGACGATATTTCATTCGTATACTTTATGATAATCTGTACATCATCCGAGCAAAACAAGTATTTCAACATATCTATATCCTTGGTAATTTCGTATTTTTCAAGCAGTATCTGCGATATAGTTTCGTTGGCCAAAATCATGCCAGCACTGTATACCCAATCCTTCCACCATGGTTGAAAAATGCTATATATATATAAAAAATGTGTATGAAAAATATCAACTATTAGCGAAGTTTAAGTTTAAATCGTGTGACCGATCCAACATATGGTGTAACAGGTAATAAAGAAATATGTTTAAGAAGATTAATATAGTGTATAAAGGACTTACTTTTCATTATTACGGTCGGAGAGATGTCTAGACAATTTTCCCGCAGCAACTCTTTGACACTTTATATGCCCTAACTTGCAAGCCCATCTTGTTGCTAATAATCTCAATGTCTTCTGCATATTGTCCTCACCATCTCTTTCTTCATATCCCAAATGTTCAAGCAAGCCGCCCAACATTTGACGTACATGTCCCTAGATTACGTGAAGGAATATTGATATTACATTAATATTGAGATGACAGTTTAAACAGTTTGATATGACAACGTTATAATTTAATTTTAATACCTCGCGTTGTTTAATAGGAACTGATATTTATATGCATGTATAACTACGGATATATGTATGATATATATCTGAACATACATAAATATTTTTAGTAACAGAAATAGTCCATTTCATTTTTTTCCAAATTATTTATCTTCAATGTTATAAAGTTTTCTTGTGTATAATCGGTGTAGACTAGGCATCGCCTAATTAACTTATTTGACGAATTCCGATATTACCTACCTTCATAAGTTCCGCTTCCGGATGATCCCAAACAGGCCACATGAACGATAAAATATTGAACATCGGATACCAGGCTATATAATTTACATCGTCCTTTAGATAGTTTGCAAGATCCCAAAATATGGACGATGATACGTATCCTTGTGTCATAAAATAATACGCATCATCAATCAATTGCGCGCGATTAAGGACATCTATTTTATTATAATCATCAGTGTTTAAGAAAGTTTTAATTAAAAGCCAATTTTGATGATCGTAATTCACGCGAAAGTATCCTGTTGTAAATTAAATGATTATTATATTATTTCAGTTATTAATTTACATTTATATTTACCGAATAATGTTATAAGATAAGATAAAAAAATGTATTGAGTATGGGAATAAGTTTCCGCTCGTTTTAAATACAAATTAATCGTTTATTTAAACAAAAAAAAACAAAATGATTTTATTCAAAGTACGTCCCATTGGAAGCGACAACTTTCTCCCATCTTTCAGGTAGTAAACGGATTCCTCGAAGAAAAAATCAAATTCTTTTGATTCGATCCATTCATTAAGCCATTTTTCGATACCTTTATGAGAAGTGAACTGCTCTCCAGAAAGGGCCGATTGCATGATCCGAAATAAATGGAAATCCGAAGGAACAATATCTGTTGAATACGGCGGGTGGGGCAAGATTTCCCAATTCAACCCTCCCAAATATTTTTGGACCGGTTTTGCAATGTGGGGCCTAACGTTGTAATAGAATCAGCTTGTTGTGCCTATTATCTCATTCCGGTCGCTTCTCTTTTAAAGCTCGGTTCAAACGTATTAACTGCAGTCGGTAAGGATCCTCAGTGATGGTTTCGGTTTTAGAAGCTCATAATAAATAACGCCCTTCTGATCTTACCAGATGCATAACATAACTTTCGAACCGTGGATATTCCATTTTGAAGTTGATGGATCTGGTTCACCTGGCATTAGCCATGATTTCTCAGTCGTTTGGGGTTGTCGTAGTAAATCAATTTTTCATCGCCAGTGACAATTCGGTGCAGAAAACCCTTCCTTTTTTGTCTTTGAAACAGCATCTCGCACGTCACCAAACGTCTTTCAATGTCTCTCTCCTTCAATTGATGTGGCACTCAATTTCCTGATTTTTGTACCATTTTCAATGCATGTAAACGTTTTCCGACTGTTGATCTATCAACATATAACTCGCATGAAAAATCTTCGAGCGTCCGACTCGAATCTTCTTCGAGTAAATCTTGCAGTTGTGCATCTTTGAATTTTTTAGGTGTCCCTTCGCGTTCTCAGTTGCTCACGTCATAATCACTTCGAAAATGCCGAAACCACTCTTTACATGTGGTACCCGACGGAGCATGTTCGCCGTAAATATCAACAAGCATTCGATGCGTTTCAACAGCACTTTTATTCAGAATATAGTAATGGAGTAACACTTCCCGCAAATGCCGTTTCGTTGGGATAAATGTTGCCATTTTCAACGCGAAAAAAATGATGTTCATCCTTCAAACGAATATCTACTACTGCGATTCAAAGCTCACAAATACACCTTCAAAACACAAATATAGCCGTTTCATCAAACATGAAATTGGTACCACTAACAGTACCTTTCTCAAAAGGCCGGAAACTTACTCCCATACCCAATATTATGTTAAAGTTGTTTTTCGCTCTAAAGTGACGTCACGAACTTACATGGTATATATACACTCACCATTATGCTTTATATTAAATATAACAAAATTAATATTCTCTTCTATCGGTAGGTTAATAGTTACAATGTCAGAACTTGTTATCCAAATATCACTGATGATATCACCCATGGAGTGATATAAAATATAGGTTATTGGTACTATCCATGTAGATTTTGTCATGCTAACACTATGAGTGATATTTAATATCATTGTGTTATTTTCACGATCGTGAAAGACTTGCATAACAGGATAGTATCTTTGAGTTAACCACGTATCCATAATTTCTTTAATTTTAAACTTTTCATTTTGTGTGTCATCAAGTAAACGTTGAAAGGTGATCCAGAAATCATAAGGAGTAGTTGAACGAAACCTACTGTAAAGAGAAAAATTCAACATTTGCGTGTGTGTACGAAATTTGTGAATTTTACAATATAGATACTGAACACATTTTTATTTAACCACGTGTTCAGTTAAGCCTTTAACGTAAATGCATAAATATTGTATACGGAAAATCTGTGTAATAAATAATATACCCCTTTTTAACCCAATTAATTAATAAATATGTAAAGATATAAATTTAGAATAATATCAATTCTGTCGTACACATAGTTACCCTTAGAAACAACGCTTGAAAGCAAAGTATATAATGATGCTACAATATGCTACTTACAATTTATCCAAATATGTTTCGACCGCTAGTTGAAATTTATCCCGTGTGATCATATGCTCTATCATGCGTAAAAGAGCAAAACCTACAAATTAAACAATGCGATGAAACATAATAAGTTTATGTAGTTTAAATAGAGTAAGGACCAAGTCTCATCATTTATATGGTATTTCCTTTCGAGGATATACAGAATGTCCCATTTTAAAGGACTCACTCAAATATCTCAGAAACACTGCGTTAAATCGAAAAATACTTAAGACAAAAGTTGTTTGGTTTGAAGGAGGACATGAGAGAGCGATAGCATTTGGTTTATAGATGGCTCCACTTTCGAAATATTTACTGATCATCAATTTTCTTAAATAGAAATCCCAATTTTCTATTATATCATCTTTTTCTACCAATTAATTTGAACAACTTTTGTCTGAAACATTTTTTTATTTGCTTAATATATTTTGAGATATTTAAGGAAAACTTGGTAACATTTCCAACATTTACCTTACGATATCTCGCTAACTATTCGTCGAAAGAGAAAATATTAGTAAATAAATAGACTAGTATTAGACTTTTTTACTTTATTTATTATCAAGAATATACTACTATAATAGTGCCATAACTTTTATTAATTTAATAATTTTGAAATTTCCAAAGGTCGACAAGTTAACAAAAGTTAGGGCACTATTATAGTAATATATTCTTGATAATAATTAAAGTAAAAAGGTTTAATACCATTTTTCCTTTCGACGAATAGTTAGTGAGATATCGTAAGGTAAATGTTGGAAAAGTTATCAAGTTTTCCTCAAATATCTCAAGAAATAATAGGCCAATAAAAGAATGTTTTAGACACAAGTTGTTCAAATTAATTGGTAGAAAAAGATAATATAATAAAAAGTTGAGATTTCCATTTAAAAAAATTGATGATCAGTGAATATCTCGAAAGTGGAGCCATCTATAAACCAAATGCTGTCGCTGTCTTATGTCCCCATTCAAGCCAAACAACTTTTCTCTCAAGCATTTTTCGATTTAACACAATATTTCTGAGATATTTGTGTAGGTCCTTTAAAATGGGACACCCTGTATATGTATATATTTTTTTTAAATCTCCGGTTAAACACTTACCTTTATTGTAATACCAACGAGAACAGAGTATATCAATTTCATCCGCGATCTGTACACTGTATTCGGAAAGAGCTATCATCCGAAAGTTAGTTTCATAGTGAAGAGTTGTCTGAAGAATTTGGATTGCATAGAGGTGTATTAATGGTAAATGGTCTGCTTTTGTAAATGTTTCGCTGAAAATCTAGAATAAATTAACATGATACAACGAATCTAAAATGCGAAAAAGTACACGATTTAAGATTAAACAAATATAGACCATATTCCAGTAAACATAAATACATAATGGCTATATTATTGCAATACAACAAAATATAGCACGTGATACGAGGTTTGATGAAAAAGTAACGAGAATTTTTAATTTTCTCGGAAAGTATTTATTTAATCTTGGATGTTTATCCCATCTCCTTTAAAGTTGTCCCCCTATGATATTATACACGTATGCCAACGTAGTTTCCAGTTTGAGAAATATTGGTGGAACGCCTCTTTAGATATCGTTTTGTGCTGGATCTGCGATTTCGCCTTTATCTCATCTATCATTGTTGAAAAACGTTGTCCTTTGAGTGTCCTTTTGAGTTTGGGCGTTTGAACAAGTCTGGGTCATCAGCGACGTCAGTAAGCATTTTTTTAACGATGGTTACGCGATGCTGTTTTTGTTGAAAGTTTAGCAGTTTCGGAACAAATTTTGCTGGCACTCGTTTTATGTCCAAAACATTAATAAAAATTACTTTGCATGAGCCGTATGAAATTCCTATTTCTTCAGCAACCTCGCTAATGATGGTTCTTCTATTAGCAAGCACAATCTCTTTAACTTTTCCCACGTTTTCATCACTGGTGGACGTGCTAGGACGCCCAGACCTCGCCAGTCATCTTCGATGTCTTCTCGGCCTTCTTGAAAACGTTTGTATCATTCATAAACTCGTGGTTGTGACATAATATCGTCGCCAAAGGCCTTTTTAACATTTTGAATGCTTCGCTGCACTTAATTCCGTTTTTAACACAAAATTTCAGATAGACTTTCTAATCCGACATTTCACCACACAAAAAATCGCCAAAAAACACTAAAGTACATCTTGCTCATTCGCTCGCCAAACACAAACTATGCGTTGCAGCTGCTTGAAAATTGACACGTTCGTCTCTGGTAGTGCTACCAACACATAAAAAAAGAATCAACCGAATAGACAAGATAGAGCGCGCGCAATTTCAAAATTCTCGTTATTTTTGATCAAACCTCGTATAACAAGTAAATTGCAGACCAGTTACAAAGATATAAGTTACATATTAGTAAATATTTAAGTTACAATATATGTTAGATGTAATTTTCGACTCATATATAATTGCAGTTATGTAACATAAATGTAATATGTTATTAAAATGTTACAGGATTGTTACTATATATAACGAGACCGTAGCTTATATAACAGTCATGAGGTTTCATGGAAATGTTCATGTTATATATTATATAACCGAAGAAAAATTATATATTTTCCAGTAATTGTTTTTATACGAAGTGCCTGACGATAACACTTACATCCATTAAGCACACAAAATCAAATATTTGTCTTGTTATTAGTTACTTTTACATTACAAAGCAGTATTCCATATCTAATGAGGTTTGTATACGATTGAAAAAGGATTAGAAGAATTTAAAATTGTTTGAGACACCAATTATTTGCTTTAAAATTCTTTCGCTTTCTAGCAATTTTGACAGATATATATTAACCTTGCCCATCATATAATGACAGTAAAGCTTCGATAGTGATTCGCCTATCCACTGGTCGGCCCATCGAGACTGAGTAACCACTGCTGTAAACAGCTGACGTACCATTTGGTGCGAAATTACTTGGCTGATATAAACTTTCTGGCCAGGGAAATCGAAATCTCGATTATATAGAACATCCTTTTCACTGTAAATTGTCAATTAATATAATCAAGTGATATGGACATGAGAATGCGCATATAATTTAACTCTTTTATAAACTACATAAGCGTATAAAGTTAGTTTAAAAATTCTAACACAATGAACTCCATTAAGCACAGAATGATAATAACGTGACATCAATTTTATCGTTTTCTACCTCATAATATATCATAACACTTATGTATTATATATGTTGAATCGTAGTTACATTATTGAGCGAGATAATAAAGTATCGATATAATGTTAATGGTTATTCGTGCGATATTTAATAGATGCACAGCCTGAGAAGAAAGTGCATTGTTACGAACGCTTATTGACCATTTCAACGTGAAATCAACGTCGTATCAACATTACGTTTCTGACTAGGTAATAGGTATGTTACATGTTATATTGTGTTTACTGGATTGTACGTTACGGCATTTTAATTATGTGTATTGTGTACCTGTATATCATAAGGCCGATAGATCCCATTGTCTTTATTGTATTATTTGGGAAGAATATGTGATTTCTTTTCGGCAATACATCAGTTAAATTCGTAATAGTCGTCAAGAAATAATTGTCAAGTGCAATTGTATTCATTGCATATTCTAGCATTTGCCGTTGCGATATGTACCAAATTAAGTCATTCTTAGACATGTTTCTCGTTTGAAATTTGTCGTTGTGTTTAAGCACAGCAATGAATACATTGAGAGGGGATATCAACGGCGTATCATAAAAATATGTCCTGCATGCATCTGTACTATAGTTGTTTGTGAATAATATAGGCATATTCGAGAAGGGTATAAAATACTTGGAATGATTAATAGATATATTGAAAATTGCCTTTAATCCGGGCACGTCCCAACATGGAAACACTCTCCGAGCCATGTTAAGTTCCGTGATGGCTAACCTGTTGTTAGAACATATTATTGTAAACATAAAATTTTTAACCATTTTATAACGTAAATGGCACGGAAAAGAATTTTATACATGTATGAATAAGTTATATATAGGAAAAATCGAATGAATTATAGCATGCGTCGTGATGGCAGTGAGTAGCGCGCTCGGTTGCTACAGCTTTTAATGAAGCCCACTTTATCTAACGATAGCTCGAAGTGTGACTTTTTCTTCTCTTACATGGAAAGGGTCGGAACTGTCCCTCACCGACTTTGATAGACTTTGAACATGTTATAGAGCAACAAAAACTATTAGACGCATATTTTTTTCATCGGCGCATCAACGTTACGTTTTTGAGATATTTCACATTATAAACTTAAATGGTCCACTCTGTATATGCACGTTCATCTATCTATCTTTATTTCGTGTAATAAGTTGCATATTATATGTATCATTAAAATTAATTCTCTTGCATACTGTATGTATGAGAAAATATGCATAAAAGGCAGTTATTGAATACAGCGCAACTGAAAGAAATAACACAACACCTATCTACAGCGCGGCGCCTATAGCACGAGATGATATCATCTCGTTTTTCTAAAAATTAATCATGACCATATTGTATTATTATATATGGATGGATTCGACATCAAATGCTCTTTAATTCTTGTCCTCGTGAAATTTTTTAATTTTGCAAAATTAGAGGGATAAGGGAGGAAGATTAAAAATTTTGACACTTTTGAAAAATCTGATTATATCGTTGCAAACAGCATAAAGTACTGTAAAACTTTTGTAGGAAACATTTTTTCATATATCTCATACTTTAGAAGATATTCGCAAAAAATGAAAATGTTAGTTTTCTTTTGGAACTTGTTTCACCCTCTAAACCTTGAGATGCGCCGATAAAAAAAAAATTACGTGTCTAATAGTTTTTGTTATTCTACATCATATCTAAAGCCCATAAAAATCGGTGAGTTCCGACCCTTTCCTTGTTAATCGCGTGACGGCAACTATTGCTGGGCGAAGTGGTTCGCTGTAAGCTCGAGCGACCAGTGCACTATCTATTACCTCCAGGACGCACACTAATTGATTCAGTTTTTTTCATGTATAATCATTATTCTGTTTTACGATTTTTGCAAAAGTATTTGACTCTATTCTTTATCACAATTGGGTCGATACTTATACTGGCTATGGTTATTTGAGTTACCAAACATACTGTATATGAATTATACAAGATATCGCATAACTCGCTAGGAATTTGTGGAGACATAAAGCGAATTAAGACAAACATGTAGTCCTATACCGTTTCGTGATATTTGCAATAATTATTTAGTTATTAATTATAGAAATCTGAGGAGTATGCGCGCGTCAAGATGGATGATTGGAGAAGAATACAACTACTCGCATTATTGCGCGGTGCAGTCGATCCAATTGTTATTGATATGTGATGATGAGAAGGACAACATGCCGCTGTCCGTGTCGTATCTTACCGCTCCTACATTTTGCCAAACACCGGCTGGATCGACTGGACCCCACTAAGTCTGACGGATTCCTCCAATACCGTCTCGATGCACGTTCACTTATCAGATTTTTATAATTAATAATTCAATTAATAATTATCGCAAATGTTGCAGAACTATACATTTATGTTTGTATTAATCAGCTCTATGTTGCCATGTCAAATTCCTCTGTATCGACTTATGGGATACTTTGTATGTAATTTAATATAAATATTGTCTGCATATGGTCACACAAAATTGTATGAAAATTAATTTATATATGTGTCACTGAAGAAAAGACTTATATACAAATGCAAATTATGCAAATTCTTGTTTCCACAGCTATTATTATTTTTAATTGATTTACATACCGACACAGGGATTATCGGTAAACATTTTGTCGATAAATATTTAATAATAAACACAAAAGTATTGGATTAATCGGTGTAACCTTTGATTTTTTCTCATGATAATTATATAATTATCTTTGCAGTTTGATTTATATAAAACAACATAACCAGTATGACATTTGAACTAAAAGAAAAAACGTACATACGATATATATTTACATACAATGATTAGCGATATATCTTGATTCACGCAACTTCTTACCATACATTTTCATGATCTATTTCATCTCCTTTGTAATCATATTGAATTATACCTTTCCAAGGATAATCATAAACGTCGGTGTAGATTGTTAAGTTATAAATTCCGGGAAATATAATTTTATTAAACTGCAAATCTAAAATCTGCGATTGTTTGCAATAACGGTAACCACTTAATTTGTAGTTTACAATTTCTGAATGTACAAAAGTTAGATGTATCGGATCTTTGATAAACAATCCAGAAACGTGCAAATTTATATCTCTAGTTGGATTTTCAATAACGATTATAATTCTAGTTGTACCGTAGACTGTAAGAACAGATGAATATATTTCGAAATTTATGATATATCGAGTTGGCCGTGTGTTATGAAGTAAATCATTATAAGGTGAAACATCCGAGCAGTTTTGCATAGTCATATTTACAGATTTATCATTGTCGGCAATAAAGACGATTGGCAAAGGTATCCTTTCACGGACAGCGTATACCGAGATGTAACTTAATAATAGTATTAGAGATTCCATGTAAATGTTTCGCAAAGACATATTTGTATCTATATAAGGAATTTATTTGTTAGCAGAACGAAATATTAGTTAATGGTAAGTTTTAATATAGTATCATTGTTGCATAATATTGTTACTTAATGTTGATATTAATGTAAGAAAAATAATAATGGATATAAGAAATTCAATATCTCTTACCTAAGTGGATATCTATTCTGTATTTGTTATTTCCACTCCTAGTGTTCGTTGTTTACCGTACGCAGAACAAATACAGCTTCTTATATAGAGATCCATTTGCTAAACAGAAAAAGATAAATACATACCGAGCAATAATACGTCACGTTTTGAAAAACATTTTATCGCTAGATTAATCACATACGACGGATTTTGCAGGGTAATAATATATTATGTGGACTGTATTTTCTATATATATAGTAAAATTATTATAATTGAAATAGGTATATTCGCGTGAACTTTGAAGGGAGCGTTGTAATTGGTAGTGATGAGAATCGTAATAGATTCGGCCGGCGGGAGAGGAGGCAGTCGATAATCTGAGTTCAACAGCGTTTTCGAGAGGGGCAATAGCCGAAGCAATAGCGTTAACAGTAGAAGTGGCAGAAGATGATGCAGGTTCGGACGTCAGGAAAGGAAATGGAGAAATGCCGTAGATCAGTAGCGCCGGTGGAGGTGATGACAGGAGACGTTGTAAATCTGGGAGTCGTGAAGAAGGTGGCGGGAGCCGTGGTCTGGACTTCAGGAAGGGAGGCGGCGAACAGCCGCTGATCAGGAGCGCTGACAGAGGTGGCGACAGAGGACGGCGAAACTGTAATCAAAAACCTGGCGCAAGAAGCGCAATGCCCGGCGCACAAGGCGCAATGTTCTGGCGCACGAGGCACAATATCCCGGCGCACTAGGCGCAAGCTCGGCGCCAGAAGCTTGATACTCGGCGCACAAGGCGCAATGTCCCGGCGCAAGATGCGCAATGCCCAATATACAAGGCGCAATATCCCGGCGCAAGAAACGCAATGCCCGGCGCACAAGTCACAATGTCCTGAAACTTTTACCACTGTATTTGAATATAACTGAGATAAACACAACTATAACACGTAAGAGAAATGAAAAATACAACTGACTCAAGTAATAGCAGAAAGTAGAATGAATAAAAGAGAGAATGTTATATATATTGAGAGTTGCCCCTCGCAACCGTCTTGAATCAGCCTCCCTTTTTTTTTACGCGCAGGATCATGGCACCTCTGCTGCCGCTTCTTATTTTTCAACATAATATATAAATTATTGTTGGTGTACTGAACAATTAATATTAAAAAATATAGTAAATATTAGTTTCATACATTGCTTCGGAAATTTCACTGATTGTAACAAAGTTATAAACTATGATAAAACATATCGCGAAGATTGACAAAAAGAATTGCTTTAAAAACTTATAAAATAGAACAATCTTTTTTATTATAAATATGTCAGTTATTATGTCAGTTATAAATACGTCAGTTATAAATACGGTTATTGATAAATAAATAAAGCTTGATGTGACAGAATTTGATATATTAATAATAAAATTGATATTTTATAGAAAAGCAAATAAATAAAATTTAATAAGTAAATATATATACAGCATGTCTTATAACTAATGTTGCAGAGCTCATGGAGACATACGGCGGGTTAAGACAAATATAAAAGTCCCATATCGTTTTGTGAGATTCGCAATCATTATCGAGTTATTAGTGACAGAAATCTGACAAATAAGCGTGCGCCGAGACGTTATGGCAGGAGCATCAAGCCACTCAGACTAGAGCGCTACCCAGTCGACCTAGAATCTGTTGCCGGTGTGCGGCGAGAGGAAGGACAACGCGCCGATGCTCATGTCTTTACCTCGCCGCACAGTGGTACAAATGGATCTTTTTATGGACAAAAATCGCTGGACGGTGTAATTCTTAACCGATTTCCATGCTTTTTTTAATTTACTCGCGATGAATTGCTCTACAATCGTATCGAGCCCATTTTTTAAATTAGGCCCTCAATTCAAAATGGCAGACGCGCAAATTTGTCAAATGTATAAAACCTGTAAAATATCGAATAATTTTAGATCGGACAAAGTTTATACGGGCCTTTAAGGCCTCCGAGATACATATGTAAGATCGAAATTCTCAGTTTTTGCAAGTGAAGAGGATCTACAGTGGCCCGATATATTTTAAACCTGCCTGATATCCCCACATTATCAATGTATCTCTAACCGTTTAGGAGATATCGAAGATTAAAGTTTTCCAACTTTTCTCCGTTGATAACTCCGCTTCTACTGGGAGTACAGAGTCGTCAATGTAGTCGAAAATGTAGGGTTTTGAGAGGACTTTATTTTGGTGCCAGAACCAGGCCTGTATCTCTAACCGTTTAGGAGATATCGAAGATTAAAGTTTTCCAACCTTTCTCCGTTGATATCTCCGCTTCTACTGGGAGTAGAGAGTCGTCCATGTAGTCGAAAATGTAGGGTTTTGAGAGGACTTTATTTTGGTGCCAGACCCAGGCCTGTATCTCTAACCGTTTAGGAGATATCGAAGATTAAAGTTTTCCAACCTTTCTCCGTTGATATCTCCGCTTCTACTGGGAGTAGAGAGTCGTCCATGTAGTCGAAAATGTAGGGTTTTGAGAGGACTTTAATTTGGTGCCAGAACCAGGCCTGTATCTCTAACCGTTTAAGAGATATCGATGATTAAAGTTTATTATTATTAAACTAATGAGTTTGCGTATATGTATTGCATAAATATATATATGTATATATGTATGTAACATATATTGCTGGATTATTTATGAATTCCATAGTTTAACGTAAAATAATGATATAGGTGACAGCATATCGAGTCAGTGCTTAGATGAAAATAACGGATTAAAGTCAATCGTGTGAACTGGCTGTATTAATGAAGGTATTACTTATCTCCTCTTATTCTGACGATTTCGTCATGTGCTAAAATCTTAGTATATTTTTGTCGTTTTTATAATTAAATAATATTTGGAGTATTATTTTTCGGAGGCCTTAAAAGCCCGTATAAACTTTGTCCGATCTAAAAATATTCGATATTTTACAGGTTTTATACATTTGTCAAATTTGCGCGTCTGCCATTTTGAATTGAAGGCCTAATTTAAAAAACGGGCTCGATACGCTCGTAGAGCAATTCATCGCGAGTAAATTAAAAAAAAAAGCATGGAAATCGGTTAAGAATTACGCCGTCTAGCGATTTTTGTCCATAAGAAGACCCATTTGTCCCACTGTGCGGCGGTTGAAGCAAGAAAGACTTATCCTTGGGCATATTTTCTTTTTTCGAAGGTTTCGGGACAACGAGGGGAATGCAAAGAGGCCTTTCAACTGTACGCGACATTGATTTACTACTTATTGATTACTGAAAATAAAGAAAATTATTCTATCGAAGCATCGGATATTTATTAGCTTTATGTTAATTAAAGAGAAATGTGTACGATTTGAAAATATGTTAGCAGCTAATTGTACAGAATGTCAAAGTTCTTGTAACGCCGTTTTCGGGGAATAATTAAAGGTCATGGTAGCGTTAAAGAGTGGAATTTCATCTCATGCGAATTTTGTCTTGTTCTTATTAAATGTTAGATGTTATCCGCTGCGGACAATAACTCTTCTATTTTTCATCTAATATTCAATGATAATAAATAACATTTAATTGCATTCGTTTGGCTTTTTTTATTTCGAAAATGAAAAAATATATACCAGGGTGAGATTTCACCCATGACAACATCAACATGATTTTCTTTGATGCTTTTTTTAAAAGTTCAAATATTTCGTCGACTCGCGGGATATTTATAATCGGAGTCTCGTCGCGTTAATTAACATGTGCTCCTCCGAGCGGATCGAATGCTCACCGACGGCCACTGTCAGTGCCACGAGCGAATGTCCGGAACGGACGGGATGCTGAATTGAGAAGCAGGACGAAGGGAACGGGACGCGGGCAACGATACATCATGCGTCTCCAGACGTATCAAATCGTTTATTATACAGGAGACTTTAATACGGCAACATGTATGTAGAGGATTTAATATTTAATATGTACTTTTATTTTTCCTGCCCCCCCCCCCCTCCCCACCTGCTCTTTTTAGACCTTCGGGCATAAGACTTGTTCGTTTTTTGTCTGCACTGCTGAATTAGTGCATTAAGTTAAAGTGAAACAAACATAGATTTTCTCACTTCAACTTGTTGCACCAGTTCAGCAGTGTAGACAAAACGAACAGGCCTATTGTCTGGCACAGAGATAGTAACTATGGTTGCAGCACGGACGTAAACCGCCTGAAAGTGGATGTAGCACGGTCTTCCACCACATGAAGATTTTACCATCAAGACCTAAAAGTGGATGTAACATCGTAGTTCTCCTCTCAAAATGGATGCAGATGGCGCCCATTTCCAGTGCGAAAAATCGGTGTCGCCGAAAATGCCGTGTTGGCCGCTCTCAGCTTCCTCTCTGCATGCACTAATGACATAATGAAATTGCTAAATATATGATTTATATACTTTATATGATTTATATACTTTATTTGCTTTCTTTCTGCTATTATCTTTTTCTTTAAATACAATATATGCATTTAGTTATAATAATTTATAATAAACATGATTTATTATATATTTGTATTCTATATTTCCAACAGTAATGTAATATTTTCTTTGTCACAACTATAACATTTCTTATAATCGATAGATACGAACGTTATATGTGTTACTAATATTTCTTGTTAGAATTTATAATTCATACATACAATAATACTTGCATGTGTGCATACACATATATTACTTTTACTTTAACCACTTAGATCGCCATCTTCCCACATGCGTGACGCATGCGCATAAATTTAGTACATAACTGTCGGAACCATTTACTTTACCCAAGTTAGCAGTCTAGTTATAATCTAGATGTCTGTGATCGCAACTGTCTCTTACAAACGAAAATAGCTTTATAACTTTGTAACTAGTAGATGCAAGTAGATGCTATCCTTCGCAACTCGCAACTGGGTGTTTATTTGTTCGCTTCCGTGGCGGTTGGATGCGGTTTCTGTAACTACGCATATTTTTTGATCGTGGGAACTGCGTACGTGTTGTCTCTGTTTTTCTTTCATCTTCATAATCGTTGACCGACGTAGAGGATAGGGTGTAACATCTCTGCCCAGAGCCATTTATTGAGCCAGAACCAGAACCAGCAACTGGATGTTTGCAACTTATTTTGGATCGGGCTTTATTTATTTATTTGAACGAGTATTTCGTCCGTGGTGAGATCAATTTCGGAATAGGCTTGTAATCCAAGATTGATATAAATCAATCAGTATGGAGACGGTTCTCTATTTTACAATAGTATGACTCCGTTATAGAAAAGATGAATATTATTTGTTTGTATTACCGGAAGATGAACGTGTATTTAATTAGATTTTAAATTGCCACGTAAAATGAAAACTATTGGAAATACAAACTCTCTAGAGACATATAAATCCACGTGTGCTAGAGCGTGGTATATGTTAATTATATAAATTTGGTTAGGTATTGGCTAATGTACATATAAGAGTAGCAGGCATATGCTTTTATATTTTGTTTATTTATAAAATTATATTTATATATGCTTATAACAAATTGTAGCCTATGCACATAACTGTCTAATATAATTTACAGTATAACCACAATGTGATACCCATATTTAAACCACAACAATGGGGAAAACATCAAAAGACAAGCGTGACATATATTACAGGAGAGCTAAGGAAGAAGGATGGCGTGCACGAAGTGCTTTTAAATTACTCCAAATTGATCAGGAATGTCGGATCTTTAATGGTAAATACTGAACAAGAATAATAGCATAAATTTGTCATTCTATTTTATTTTAATTTGTCTTTTAATTTTCATTCAATTCCTGCAGGTGTATCCAAAGCAGTAGATTTATGCGCTGCACCTGGAAGCTGGAGTCAGGTCTTAGCTCTTAAGCTGAAGTAAGTACAAATATCTAATACCAATTAACATCGTATTCTATATACTAATCAATCTAGTGCAATATTGTTTTCTATATTCCATGATTGTATTAGTACATAAGATATTACTTAATAAATGAGCAATGTTCAAGGAATGTTCAAGATTCAACATTTTGACAAAAACAAAGAAATGTGTTATGCAATGAAATAAATAATATTTATTATATTTTGTATGTTCCTTTTTCAATAGTGAAAACTATAAGAAGGCATTGGAAGAATCTTCAGCTGCATCTCCTCCAAAAATTGTGGCAGTTGATTTACAAGCAATGGCACCTCTGGAAGGAGTTATTCAATTACAAGGTGACATTACCAACACCAACACAGCAAAAGAGATTATAGCACATTTTGATAACACTCAAGCAGATCTGGTTGTATGCGATGGAGCACCTGATGGTACATGATTTTATCTGTTATTTGCATTTTCCAATCTAAAAGAATATATATTTAGGATTAATTAATCATTGATTATATTATGAACAAATATATTTTGTGCTCCCATAGTAACCGGCTTACATGATATGGACATATTCATTCAATCGCAGTTGCTGCTAGCTGCTCTGAATATAACTACACATATTTTAAGACCTGGTGGCACATTTGTGGCGAAGATCTTTCGTGCGAAGGATGTGACATTCTTATACGCTCAATTGAGGATATTTTTCTCTTATGTATACTGCGCGAAACCCAGCAGTTCCCGCAATTCTAGCATTGAAGCCTTTGTGGTCTGCAAGAACTATTCGCCGCCGGAAGGTTACGAGCCGCACATGCTGAATCCTTTACTAACGCACGAGCCGTGTGACTTTCAAAAGCTGACAGGAGTCAACAGGGTCATAGTTCCATTCGTCGTGTGCGGAGACTTCAGCCAGCCCGATTCGGACACGAGTTATCCGCTAAACGTGAGTTTCTTTGTCTTACTTTATTTTTGTTTCATTGCTCCTCTCTATCTCGAATATTTGAACATGTTTTCAGTACAAAGGAGAGAAGTACACATACCGCGAGCCAGTGCAGACTCCTATAGCGCCACCCTATGAGGAAGCGTTATCTTTATCGAGAAGCAGAGACTTTCATATGGCTGATGTTAGTGTGATAATCGAGAACGAAAATATGAATACAATTTCTCTCTTTAAAAAGACAGTCTTACAACAGAGTCAAACTGAGATGAATGTAGAGGCGAAAACAGTGCAACAGGATCAAGATGAGGATGAAACGCCTATCGATATGTTACAAAATTTATATGTGTCTGATGCAAATAAAGTTAATAATTAAGATTCTACAAAGATGTTTCTATTATCGTTGCATGTTTATATTATTCTCAAAATAATAAATGTAGAAACATTTTTTATGAATTCCTGTTCCCGACACATCTGGATGTCCCGACATCTATTTTCAAAGAGAAAGCATTTCATGCACGAGTCAATGCAGTATACGTAAGGAGCCGTATTGATTAGAAAATAAAGATTTCAATGAAGAAGTAATTTTTCCGCAGATTTATACCGAGATTGACTGAGCTTTCGAGAATTTGTTGAAAAGATGTTGCATTCGATATGAAGAGTCACTAACGAGGTTGAATTCATTGAGACAGCGTTGCATTTATTTTCCATTCAGTTATAATGAATCGCAATGAACTACACTATATATGAGCTAACACTTTGCTTGTTACATTTATCGTAAACTTGGCTGAAGCAGGAATAATTCGCTAAATGCTCTAATACCGCTTGTCCCGGCTAGGATAGATATTCATAATAGCAGAAGGGAGAAGAAAAAAGAGCGATATTAGTGTTATTATATTATTGTCGCTTAATTTCCTATCGCAACTGCATTCTCGTCGTCGTGACGCAATCGCTGATCGATGTCTTCCTCCTGAGGACGCACCTCTTCGGCGTTGGGACTCTCGTCCTGGCCGTCGCTGTCCGAAGTCGAACTGTCCTGCGGTATTTCAATCCCCTGCGTCAGCAAGCTCGTTATCCTTTCAACGTCCACGGTGTCGTCCTGCTCGTGGATCTTCTTCAGGGCGTTCGACACTATGCAGAGATCACCTCGCAGCTCGCTGACCACCGCCGTGATCTTCTGCGCGTCCGTCAACACCTCCACTGACTGAGTATACGGATTGTAACGTATCCCGAAGGGACGTTGAATCTGATTAGCGAATGCCCTGGTGAATAACGTGGATATTAATATCTCGAATGACGCGATGAAAATAATATCAAAAGTAAGGATGAGACGAAAATGGCGTCGCAATATATACAGATGCATTCTATATAACTTTGAAGTAAAAAGAGATGTCATTCTAAGAAGAAAAAATCTCGTAAATTTCACCTAACTAAATATTTTCTTATCGTTCTCCTGCCTTTGAAATAAAGTGGAACTAAGCGGTAGAGGCGCAAATTTAGCGAACCGTTTGCTGCAATTTTTTTTTTTTCAGAGAAGTAAAAGCTCATTTTTAGAGAAGAGTATGCGATCTTTACAAATGTACTCGTCATATTTTCAAGGATTTATAGCTTCTCATTTCATATGTTAAGAAATAATAAAGCTTGGTGCTCTTGGTAAGTCAGAAGAGAACGGGGGTGAGATTCTGTGGGACACAAACTTTGTGTCAAACGTCAAGGTGATTACCGCATTTTCTCCTTCGCTTCCTCGATGCTGTCCGTGTAATAATATGCGTTTTGGAACGCGGTGATGATACATTCCTGCTTGCACGTAACATCCGGCTCGAATCTCATCATTTTTTCCGAAGCAGTGACCGCGTGCCTCAATTCCGCCACCGATGATAACAGGCCCGCGCCGTAAACGCGAAGCATGCCGTCTTGCTTGCACAGGCCGAATTCCACGGTGAAGAAGTAGAGCTGAGATAAGATAGAAGCGGTGCGATAGCAAAGAGAAGCGAGAGAAGCGAGAGAGGCGCGGGGAAATAAAAAAGAACAATAACGATTTAGTTTCGTCAGAGAGCGGAGATCGCAGGTACGGCAGGTTTAATTCGCGATAAATCGCGAGGTGAGCAAACGACACCTGCGCAAAGGCAATTTCATCCTTTCCGCCAGGAGAGACTTACGGTCGCCAGTTTGTCTATGTCGTCGTCCGATGCACCGAGCGAAGCCAGACCGAGTTCCTGAGAGAACTGCGCGAAGTTCGGGTTGGCCAAGAGCGGCATGTGGCCCAACAGTTCGTGACAGCAATCTCTGATAATATATAATGATAAATCAATCGCGAAGGATCACCGGCTGCTTCACGAGCTGCCGCGATCGTCGCGACATCGCGACAAAGTCGCAGCAGAGTTCCAAGCTTTTTTCTCCCCATCGCTCTGATAAGACTTTCCTCTCTCTCTGTCTCAAAAATTTAACTTTTTCTTTCGCAAACTGCAAAAAATTACTCGATCGATCGTATTTCTCAAATAGTACGCGCTGCGAACTCACGGCTCGGGGGTGTAGAACGGGTCGGAAGAATGTCGGATGTACTGGGTGCAGTGGAACACTCGGAAAGCAAGTCCGGCGAGGAAATCCCGCGGTGAGAGATAACCCGCGACCGGGCGAAGTTGAAATCCCGTCGTTCCTGCGGATACAGATTTACGTTTCGGGTACGTCGTTATTGCTCCCGTAAAAACAGCGGACGGACGTAACGTCGATTTACATACCGCGGCCATTTGTGTTACTTACGCTTGAGGAAAACGTTCACATCCTGCAGCTGAGGTATATTGTCCTCCCTGAAAGGCGATGTTTAGAAAAATATCAGGTGTCTTGACGTGTATAGGATTCTTGTAATGAATCAATCCTGTCATCTTGTTGAAATTAGTCAAACGCGCGATATATTTTAATTTGTTAAGAAATTAAACTTGCTGCATCCGCTTCGACAGCAATTTTAGCTCGCGCCTGTTCGCCGTGAAATGGCGTCTGTTACTGTATACTTTGTCCTTTGGAATTTTTATATTATACCTGCCTGAAGGTTCATTAGAGTCTCTACATTAAAAGATACCTGTATCCGCAATACTTGACCAGCTTCGGCCAATTTTCCAAGTATTCCTTGCACGCGTACTTCAGATAAAGCTCGTGCAACTCACGGAAGACAGTTCCCCTGAAGTAAAAGGACGAAGGTACCTTAAAGTATTAAGTATTGAGTATTGAGAGCATGTAGAATTAAATCCTTAAGTTCCTCGCGTGTGCATCTCATCGCGATGCTTTTATCCATTTCATCTCAAGCGAGATTCGTTACACCCAAAAAAAGGTATTCTATTTGTAAGGTGATTTTTCCCATAGTTTCATATTCTAAGCGAAGCCTTTTGTAGAAAAAAGATTTCTCTTTCGATCAAGCGATTAAAGTGAACTATTCATCTAAAATTTATTAGATATTATTCTAACTGTTTTCCTCTTATTTCAAGAGGATTTCCTCTTATATTAATTAATTTTCCTCTTATATGAAGAGGAATATGTTGATTAGAATGTCGGCTTCTTTTATTCAGTCATGCTTTACCTCCATATATGAACGAAAAAATAACCATATGTTCATCATCAGAATATTACATCAGAATATTTGTAAAAGATTTTTAAAAGAAGTATGTATGTTGCTGTAACATATAACGAAAATGATTTACTCACATTTGGTCAAATACAGTTTATAATCTATTGCAAGAAATTGGATAATATATTCTTTCTTTCAACTATGTTTCATATAATCGGTTATGATAAACATTTTTGTAGCTACAAAATCCATAAGAAAACTGATTGGAAATTTATTTGTTATAATGATCTTCATTCGTGCCTACTTATTGCAGAACTGGAGCCAGAAGTACATCTATATACATTACTTTTCGCTATACATTATAATAATTTTTTTAAATTAATTTGTATAACCAGTAAGAATAAATAATAATCCTCTTAAAAAAAGATTAAATAATCTGTGTACAAGAGGAAATTTATATTAAAATCAATAAGATTTGCTTTATACATATAACATATAATCCCTCTAACTTTAGAGAATAATGTGGTTATAATATTTTTCTTTTGATCTTAGAGGAATCCTCTTGAGGTCATATGTCAGAAAATAAAATCCTCTAAAATTGAGATGATTCTGCTTGTTGTGAAATTACTTTTTTGGGCGTACAATGACTTGAAAAACCGTATAACAATCGCCGTCATTGGATCATTCTGTTTTGTTCGACTGAGAAGCTTTCGTTCTGATCAAGTTTGTTAAAGTCGTACGTTTGCTCGGGGTGCATCGTCGCATTCGACTCGCAGAGGATGCTGCGTTCGCCTCCCGATCTCTCGCTGCGTCGAGGATAAATCAAATTGACGCAATTAAGGGTGCATTCAGCGTGTGCCAATCTTATTTCGATCCAACTATTACAAAGAGACGTACGGAGTTGAGGAAGACTGAGGGAGGTGGGGCAGGATAGAAGAGAGTAGAGCAGAGAGAGAGAGAGAGAGAGAGAGAGAGAGAGAGAGAGAGAAACTTTCTCGTTTGAAATTGGTGAGAGGTGAGAAAAGACACACCGAAGATACCGAGTGGGCGTATAACTTAAGTATCACGAGACGGAAAGGATTTCTTCCATCCGGCGTCGATTGCCTTCGTGTACACGAAAGCACGTTCGCAGTTTGCTTCGCAGTTTAACGAGCAGAAGTTGCACCCTGCGTCTGAAATTAGGGGGTTGATCGATCCGTGGCTCATGACACGCGCGTCGTGATATTTAATTTACAATTATTTCGCGACGACATTTCGTTCGCCTAATTAATATGAAGCAAAAATCTTCCACGTTCCTCTTATCAACATTCGTGGGGTTTGTCCTGACGAATCAGTCAGGTCTGCACTTGCTGACGAGTCATTTTTGGCGGTTGTTCGCACCGTAAGCGCAAGTTTTAAAAGAAGGAGTGAAGGGAAGCGATTGAATGCTGTCAAGTTAAACAAAAACTGCAGTTTAATAACCAAAAAGCTTAAATGGCACCCGACAGTTATTCCACCGAATCGCGCTATCACAAGAAGTGGTATAAGAAGTCTCGCCGAAAGTCGAGGAAGAACAACGTATAAATCTCGTCTTCTCGCATCTTCGATATCTTGTCGAACTTTCTCCCGATAGATACAGGACTCATGTCCGTGTATGAGAAATTGCGACTATGTAAAGACAACATTCAAACAAACTCAACGTTCGCGGTTTTTCCACACGGGAATATCAATACATAATGTCGAAGACTTAGGTCTAAATTCTAAGCGAAATTATGATGATACAATAAACTTTACAGAGCCCAGATACAAACAATTTTAGAAAGCGGATGAAATTGAGATTCGTCAAGAACAGCGATAAAATTATCAATTAGGAGATTGATCATCGTATCGAGGATATTATCAAAAGGATCGAACGAAGTAAAAGGTGGAACAAATATGCTGCATCTACTACTGTATTAAAAATTAAAATTACTTGTTAAAAATTAAAACAAAAAGAAATGTCGGACAGTCTCGTTCAGTTTGATCAAACGAGAAGAAGGATGCACAAAGCTTTATCGTACTCATAAATTTCACGCATGTAACGACGTCGTATTATCTCAAGGATACGTACCAGGTCCTGATTTCCTCCGACGTGTATTGCACTCTCGGGATCGGTTGACCGCTGGAACATCCACGTTGTTCGCGATTAAGAGCGTCGTTTCATGGCGCGTAAAGAATAATTTTACTTACTGCCTGTAATTGTTAGCGATATCGGCGAACTCTTCGCGACGTTTGCGATACACGGGATCCTTGAAGCCCTGAAATTGCCGAGCGGTCGCGTTAAAGCGGGAACGCGAGCGGAAACGGAGAAAACACGACGGTGAGTAGCATGCACGAAGTCACTCTACGGAAAACGTACAGGATGATCCGCGTCCAGGTCCGACCCGTACATGAGAACCTTCTGCGCTCTATCGAGATCCGATATTTTCCGCGGGAACCAGGGCATATCTACTTCACTGAAATCTACAAAATTGAAGTTTCGTTGCGTCCAGCTTCCGCCACACGACAGGGTGTTCCACTAGCGGGACTTCCGCCCGCGGACGGAACAATGACGAAAGTGCCAGGTAAAATTGGAAATCGCTCACTGACAGCGAACGTGAATGTTGAATTTACATACGTTGGTCATCGTATCGAGAATATTATCAAAAAAGTAGAACGAAGTAAAAAGGTGGAACAAATGTGCCGAATCTACTGTATTAAAAATTAAAAATTATTTGTTAAAAATTAAAACAAAACAGATTTCGGACAGTCTCGTTCAGTTTGATCAAACGAGAAGAAGGATGCGCAAAGCTTCATCGTACTCATAAATTTCACGCATGTGAATGTTGTATATTCGCACACTCACCGAAGCTGGTCGCGGCTGAAAGGGAAGGCGCGCGCGGTATACATCCGATGTGCTCGTAATGGGCGAGGTTGATCGCGGCCACTTCGCGGCTCAACATCTTCATCAGCTGTTCCATCCTCTTCGAGTCGCACTCCACGTCCACGAGGATCTCATATTCGGAGCCGCGACGCAGAGATTTCCTCGACTCGATGTGCACGACGTTCACACCTAGATCCTTCGCGCGACAAAGAACACCCGTCTCCTCTCGATATCTTCGATCTCATCGAACGTGTTCACTAATGCCAGCTATTTTTACTCGAACATTGTGTCTTTGTACTTCGCGCCATTCCAAGGGCATTTAACGGTAAATTTTGCAACAAAATTGAAATCAACATTCTTGAAATGTGTCGACGCGTAAACTTCCATTAATTTCTTTCATTTGATAATTAACCTCTGCCGCGCTTCTCAATAAAACAAGGTGGAACGTGGAAAAATGGCGTACTTCGAAAATCCACGGTTATTGTTAATTTTATCGCAGGCATACCGAAAACATGGGACATACAGCATACCTGAAATACTTGAAGCGCTCGTGCCAAGCCGCCGATTTGGTTCTTCAGAGAGAATATCACAGAATTCTTGTTGTCGTTGGCTGAGTTATTTTCATCCATGGGAATCTGATTGAACGGAAGTACATACCTATTGTTAAAATTCTTCCGAATATCTCTCGTTCGCCATCGTGTAATTTCGCGCTTTTAGGACACTTTCACTTTCGCGAGAGTCTGTTCCGGTCTCGAATATTCTCGGTCGAGGGAGAATCATGGCGCATAAATAAATACACGCGTAACGCAGTAAATTAAAACAATCCCGACGTGGAATGACGAAGGGATTTATTCGCTGCAAACATAATCATCGACGGGTCAGGACTTTCTCCGCAGTATGATGCCGATTGACCGCGACTGACTCTATTTTACGCGTCCCGCATTATTCTGGAAATAAATAAATAATATGGACCCCTCACAAGTTGTTGAAATTAATTGTTGAAAAATTAAGGTTAATCCTCGAGTTATTTCTGAAGTGCACGTTTCTCTTCGTGTAAGATATTACTGCCGTTAGTCGGCATCGCTCGGTTGCTAATTAATGAACAAGGTGAAATTTCTACTACGACGAAATGTTTCACAAAAAATAGATTAATTTCTTTATCGTCCTTCGGAGCTGTTCAAATTTATGGTAACGTACATCGCGCGACTTGTGCAGCGGACTTCCCTCCTTGATGGCCCAGCTCTCGCCTCTTCGGTACAGCCACACCCCGAGAAGACCTTTCCCTGATCCACTCATGCCAACTTTTATGCAAACGAATCTGCAGGACAGAAGACCCCTTCGTCGGCGATGGCAATTGTATCGCTTTGAATTTATTCTCCCTTTTCTCCTCGTTTCTTTCTTCTTTTCTTTTTTAATTTTCTGCGCGACCGCGACGACGTCGGCGACGATTCGTCGTCTTCGAGGATATGCGCGACAGTGTGCCGGTACCATCCTTAACAGGTCCTCTTAAGACCTCGGTCTCCTCCGTTCGCCCTCGTCTTTCTCAATGACGATCTTACCGTGATTGGGCGGCGCATGGCAGCGCCAGCGATTCCCATTGGTCGGATAAAACCTTTCATGGGGTTGAAGACGAGTGTTGGTTCACCCCCGTTTAACGTGCCAGTCCTCGAATGTATTCCTCGTGACGTCACTGGAACCCACAGCTTGTGTCATGCGAGGAGGCGCTGGAAACGAAGAGCGCGCGCAAAAATTGCAGGATCTTCAATAAACGGGACGCACGGGATCGTTTATTATCTCGTTGCTCTTCGCGCTGATTTTTATTTCGATCCGGACGATAAAGCGAAGTTTCGTCTCTCTTGCGCGATAATTCGCAAGCTCGTCGTAGATGTTGCGCAATCGTCATCTCGTCGTTAAAATCATTACGCAAGATTCTCCTACAATTATCTTCGTGTATCTTCATGTAATTATCTTCATCGTGCGATCGCTATGAAAATTGCGCATGTTACAAATATTCGAATATCTTACGAATACTTGTGGTTAAAAGAGAAAAAAAGCAGTAAGACGATCCCCCACAGTTGTCCGTCATCTTTTATTTCTATCGCTCGTAATATTGTATATCGCGCGTAAAATTGTACTTTTTTTAATTAGAAGACAGTTTCGACGGTGCGAAACTACGGCGTAAAAATACACCACGGTCGCGAATAGCAAACGTTGAGAGGAAAAAACTCGGAGGTCCGGGGAGGAGGCTTCTTGCCCGCAGGAGGAAATCACTCGGACGAGACGGCGCGCGATTTCTCGCTCTCCGTCCTGCTTCGAAACAAAGACGCTGTTTAATAAAAGCTCGAACGCCCGAGGAGAGTTCTCTCCTGTTCTCGGGCAAAGCAGATGCAGCACATTACCCGTGTCCATCACTTACCACTATCAGCTACCCTCCGCGCTGCGGATCTACCCTCTCTGTGAATTATACGCCGGGTGTATCTCCGGCATTCAACGAGATTGGGAGTATCGTTCGATCCTGGACGAATACTTCCATCTAATCGGAATGCATTCGGAAGCGGTAAATTCTCCAGGATATCACTCGCGATGTTGTCTCTCGCTGCCGTTGCGTCCCCCCTCCCTCTCCCCCCCCCCGCGATCGAGTGAGTCGGCTATTTAACATCCGATCGATTTAATTAGCTGCCAATTTAACTCACCTTATCGCCGGCCGCAATTACGCGGGTGTCTGTAAGAACCTTCGGTTAATTAACAGATTCCTTATTACCTTTCTCCATGTGGTTCTTACGTTGATCGAATAAGGAGAGAAGGGAGAAGACAGAACCAATAATAGCGATAATGTCAATCCTTATACGGCACAATTTCGGGATTATTTCCTAGCTGAAATATTCTTTTCGCGTTGGTCTATTTGTAAAATGATTTTTTCCATAGTCTCATATTCCAAGCGAAGCCTTTTACTTTTAGAAAAAGGATTGCTCTTTCGATATAAAGCGACATAAAGTGAACCGTTCATCTAAAATTTATTAGATATTATTCTAACTGCTTTCCTCTTATTTCAAGAGGATTTCCTCTGATATCAATTAATTTCTTCGGAATTATCGGGGGCTGCGCTAATCGCGCTTCATGCATCGCTGGATCCTGCAATCCTTTCGCGGGTGCAGGTGCTAGTGACGTGAGATGTTCGTTTCCGCCGCGATACACCGGCTGAAGAACACGGTGGTTATCCACGGCGATACGTCAGCGCGAGAAGTCGTCTTTCGAGATCAAACGGGGGTGGCGCGGAGCGCGAATTTAGCCCCCGTTTTCCGCCCGGCTTCAAAGGCCACTGGGTCAGGCGCAGTCGATACCGCCGATCCCTTCGTTCTTGTCCTCTAAATTTTTCGCTCGAGGTTACACTAACGAAGCACTTCTCCGTCCGCTTAATAAATACGCGTTTAATTGCCGCCGTGCTCCCAAACGTGCATATACGTATCGTCTTGGAGCGCCTCGATTATTTCTCCTGAATATTTATAATCACACGCGAGCGCCGTGTCGGAGGACGTACGAAAGCAAATAATTATTTAAACGATTCTTTTCTTTCATCAAGCGACGCACTTTCAATTAACGAACGGACACCTGTTTCCAAATTAACGCGGCACAACTGTCCCGTGTTAACGAGCGGGACTGAATTGAGAAGTATCCTTTTCTTTCTTCTCTGTTTTTTTTTTTTTTTTTTTTTTTTTAGGTAGACGATCCCCGCATTTAATGTTGCATTTTTTACGTATTTTCCGCTCTGCACATTCGAGTGAATTTCCGCCATTCGCTTTAACATTCGCAAGGCTCGCCTCCTGTTGCATCGATCTCGCGAGGAAGTGTTCTCTCTTGAAGCTTCCCTGAAAGGTAAAACCTGCATCAGTAAAATCGATTGAGATTTGTTAATCGATCGGACCGATCGAGTCCGCGCAGAAAGTCGCCACGACGCAGGAGATGGCTATTCATGAGCAAACACGAAGATCCTTTCTGAGCGTGCTCTCAGCACGAATGAAGCTCCGCACTGCAACGAGTGACGAGAATAGAGAGACACGAAAGAAAGAATTGCGGTAGGACACGGGCTGAGAAATTGTTCGTTTTAAACGTGGTCGACCAAGTCGGCAAGTTTGCGATTTTGATGCGAGGTCGGTCCCGTACGCGGAGCGGCTTGATTTTGGCTGAGTGCCCGCACGAATTTATGACCGCCGAAACATACTCGGCAAAATCAGCCGCGCCACTATCACGAAGTCCGCCTCGTGAGATTACCGGGGTGGATGTTAAAACTACCAGATAAGATTCGCGGTAAAAACGGCGAACAGCGTTGCGCGAGAGAGTTCAACTCGCAGGATGAAGAGAATTAATTATATACGCGTGAGTGAGCGCGGGAGAGAATTTCGCGTGTCAAATTTAATTCTCCCAAAGCTACCCCGTTTCAGCGGTGTAATTTTTGCGCAACGTGATGTGTCTCATTAACTATGTCGCAATCGGGAGAGACCGCGTCGTCGGTTAACTTTAATTTAAAACTCCAACTTGCGTTTTGTCATTTCAAACTTTTTCCACTATGAAACAAAGCCACGAGAGAGCCGTTGGAAGTAACCGAGATTCACGTCGTCCATTTTCGATTTCGGCCACGGAAATCCCCGCGTTTAAATCGAGGCTAGGATATTTTCATAAACATGATTGCTCATGGCCGTTGAGTCGTCGTATCAAGGAAGTGAGAAGTCACCGTAGGTGAGTCGCTCGTCGTGAACTCCTCGGATTCGTCGGCGTGTTGCAACATATTTAAAATTAATTAGCGTCGTCAGATCGTCGTCGCGACACGGTGGAAAATGTCGCACGAGACGCCGGGAATGCGGGGAGCGCAGAGCCCCTCGGGTATTAACGAGCGGGTCGGGATGAATCTTTACTTGTTTGCGGCATGTTTAGTACGAGTGCAAAGGATCGATCGCGACCCGGCTGTAAAATATTTAGCCGTCTCACCGGAATTTTATACCGCGCTTCGCCGCGAATTCCGGAGCCACTTCGGGAGATGCGACTGTAAACTCACGAGAGTTTATGCGTGCAGCTGATCAATGTTGCATCGCGCGGTGCGATATCGACCACAGGCGCGTTAGATCCGCGAATACCGGCGGAAGACTTCTCCTCTGGTCTATTTTTCCCGGCAAGTTTTATAATCGCTCCCTTGCCCCCTTTCTCCAGAAAATCTCTCATTTTTAACAGACGCGAAAGTTTTCCCACGATTGCACGCGACCGGTGCCTCGAAAAATTCCAATCTAAAATCGTGCTGCATCAATAAAATGACTATACTCCGTAATAAAGTCCCCGTGCCAAAAATCGTTCTCTTGTTCCCTCTCCTTCTCTTTCTCCATAGAAAATCTCTCATCTTTGACAGACGCGAAGATTCTTCGACGCGATCGTCGGTGCTTCGAAAAATTCCAAAATCGTGTACATCACTAAAGTGACATTACCCCGTAATAAAGGCCTCGTGCCAAAAAGGGGGCGCCCTCTCCCTGCCAGCGGGGTTGACTGATTAATTTAATCGCGTCCCGATGATTACGTTAGCCTGGTTTAAACACACCGGCTGGGAATCATATCTCTCTCTCTCGGTGGTCGGGCGTCCGAATAAGTGCTCTGCCTATTAATATCGTCGCCCGTTCACAGCAGCTCACCGCGCGCGGCGCGCTCGCCCTTATTTGTTTAACGCGAATTTGTCGTTCGATGTTATCGCGGCCGCTGCATTTAGCGCTAGATGCGGCGCGAAGATACGCAGACAAACGTTCACCTTAGAGCGCAAGCTCTCTCTCTCTCTCTCTCTCTCTCTCTCTCTCTCTTTCTCCTCCTCTCAACTCCTTCCCTCCCTCGCCTTCACCCGGTCGCGAGAGCCACCCCCTTCGTCGTCCACCCTCGCGCGGACGCGGAGCAGGCGCGCGACGTCCGCCACGCAGGAATCAATAGGGCTGGCTCACGCGACAAAGTCGAAGCAAGCGCGGCGACGACGTCGTCGGCGACGTCAGCGACATCTTCGCGCCCCGTACGTTTCCTGGGGGTTGACGAGCAGCTCTTCGCCAAGCCGCCACGGCCACCTTCGGGACCGACCCCTAGTGGCCTGTGCGCCCTGCTGCTACCTGCCTGCTTGCGGACGCCCGCGGACGACGCCGCGATGGCCGACAGCGAATTCGAGGAGTTCCGCCACTACTTCGAGCGGCTGCCCCAGCACCTGAAGGCGCCGCTCTCCAACTACACGTGAGTACCGCCGAGACTCGAAGCTGATCTCTCCGTCCGAACAGATGACGCGGTCACGCGATAATGACCCAGCGCGGCCGGATTCGTCGCGCTGGATCGAAACCCGAGGGGGTTGCTTCAGCTGGACGGGGCTGAATCGACGCGAACGATCGAGGAGATTCCTCGGCTCGAGGATTTCCTCGGAGACTCGGTGCGACGCATCGCGTCGCGAAGTAAGTAAACTCGACCGGAGGCCGAGTTAGTGCAGGGCGGTGATGTAGGTTGTCGGATAAAACGGAGCGCATCAATGGAGGTCGAATGCGTGGTCGGCGTGCGAGGAGCAATCGTTACTGACACGTCGCTGTCCCGCGGATAATCCTGCGGCCTGGCGGATGTGCCAGTAGGTGTACAAAAGACGTCCCGACGAAAGCCACGGTATTCTCCGCGGACGGACATGGGGGGGGATGTCACGCGCGCCGTCCGAACGCCATATTTATGCACGCTGCAACAATCGGAGAATGCAGGCCGGAGAAAGAAGGCGATGAGTACGCGACGGATTGAAATTTGTAGATCAAAGTTGATGGCTCTCGAGGTCAAAGTGACGCTGTCACCCGCATCAGTCTCTCTCAGCGCAACGCTGTCTTATTTGGGAATCGCCCATGACGTCATCTGACAGCCCAACGTGACATCTTTTTAATAGCGGAGACGTTGCGCGCTCGCGTTCTCCAGGATTCATAAGAGCCGAAGTAGAAAAATAACGGAAGCTCTGTAGAATACAAGGTCGCCAGGACTCTCAAGGCGAGCCTGCCGATGGCTCGCGCGGGCGGAACGAGGAGCGCCAAATTGCACGCGAGCAACGCCGCCGCCGTCGCGTGGCCCGTTTGTCACCCCCGCTTCGGGGTGACGGAGATGACGAGTCGTCGCGCGTGTTGTTGCACGCTTTATTGTAAATTGTAAAGGAGAAGAAGGAAAATGGGAGGAAGAGATTCGTCCTCGACACGAGTACGTGACATTTCCGTGCCGACTCGGAGGAGCCGCGAAACGTGCGAGTTTAACGTCCGTGGGTCGACGTCGGTCGATGCATCGGCGGGCAGTCACAGAAGAATCGCCAGGAAAGTAGCATCGGCCTTTAAAATTATTGATCCTGAAGCACACAAGTGACACACACGAGGAGTGCGGCGTGAGACTGCGACGCATACGAGACGAGATGCGCACGGTTTTAGCTGCTTCTGCGACGCGCACACGTATACACACACGCACGCGCGTATCTAAAGGGTGTCCCGAAATTCACGCAAGAAGTAATTCTGATCGAAAACACAGGTTTATAATTAAAAATTGTAGATTCTTTATTGATTCATAAAGTATACAGTATAGGGTTATGTATGGAATAGCATATCGGGTAAACAGCGGGCCACACAGAGAAGAGAGTTCGTTGAATGGATTATGGAACCACAACAAGTGGATGCTGATTTTTCGAACAAAATCATCTTCAGCGATGAGGCTGATTTTCATCTCGATGGCTTGGTTAATCGACAAAATTGTCGCATTTGGGTGGTTCAGAAAATCCACGAGTGATTGTCGAGGAACAAATGCATCCACAACGTGTCACTCACTGTTTGGTGCGGATTTTGGGCTGGAGGCATCATCGGACCATTCTTCGGAAGAAAATGCGGCTGGTCAGGCAATAACAGTTAATGGTGCTCGCTATCGCGACATGATAATCCAGTTTTTTGTGCCTAAATTGCAAGATATGGATGTGGACGATATGTGGTTCCAACAAGACGGTGCCACAACCCGAGAAACACAATTCAATTACTGCATGAGTCATTTCCTGTTGTCGTGTAATTTCCCGTTTTGGTGATCAGATTTGGCCGCCCAGATCATACACGATTTAACGCCGTTGGACCTTTTCCTTTGGGGTTTTTTCAAGTCTAAGGTTTATGCCAACAAGCCCACGACCACCCACGCCTTGAAGGAGGAAATTGAGCGCTGTATCAACGAAATTCAGCCACATTTATATGCAAAACGCTCATGGAAAATTTCAACAAAAGAGGCCAGTTACTCGATATGCTATTCCATACATAACCCTATACTATATACTTTATGAATCAATAAAAAATTTACAATTTTTAATTTTAAATCTGTGTTTTCTAGCAAAATTACTTCTTGCGTGAATTTTGGGACACCCTTTGTTACTTCTGTTGCCGTAAACAGCCGGCGATGGTCCTGTTTGTATATATGGAACTATCGCTTGTTACATGTTATATCATGACCGGGGCGTGATGCAATTGCATAACTTGGCGATCGCTCTCGTAACGCAACGCGGTAACGTTTGCGCGCGATGCGCGCGATGCGCATAAAAACGTCTTGAATCAGCAGAATCATACGTGACGCTCCGTTTCTCCCTAATCTGCACGATCTCTCCTCTCGTTGAAAGGGAAAGGCAGATGCACGGGGAAATGATATATGACTTCCCGGTGACTGCAGCGCGCGATGTTAATTATCCGCGCAATTATTCGGCCTCTCGTGACAAATTCCGCGAGATCGCGTGTGTCACCGACGCAAAACTGTCTTTTGCACGGAAATAAGAAGGATCAATACGCGACCGTTCGATACGTCTAGCTAGTTTCGGGTTCATTCTCGGTCTCGCTTTATTTCAGGGCGATACGGCGCGAAGTTGGCAGACCGAAGCGGCACTTCCGTCGTCTCGATCTGTATTTTTATCAAAGTCGCACAAATTCAATTCTTGCGACCCTTACAAGGGACATCCGCGAAGTTTGTGTCTTCGATTTCGACGAAACTTGCCGTATTTGTGGATAGTAGCCAAAATTGAGAGAACCATATTTTTTTTACCGGCAATGAGTCAGGTTTAAGGGGTGAAACTGCCCCTCAAAGTTTCATCCTTTTTATACTTTTTATACTATCTTGATGATTGTTGCAAATAGGAGAAAACTTTTCAAACAAAGATTGTACGGTTTTTTATGCTGTACAATTTTTGTCGAAAAAGCTCTTTCCTATTTGCAATAATTATCGAGATAGTACAAAGGGAATGACACTTTGAGAGAGGCAGTTTCACTCCTTAAAAACCTGAGCTATTGCCGATAAAAAAAATATATGTCTCCTATTTTTGACTACTCTACAAATATTCGTTTCGTCGAAATCGGAGACACACACTTCGGAGATGTTCCTTGTTAATAGAATCCAGCTGTATTGCAGCGAGGTGATGAGCTACGAGCTGACGAAATACGGCAGAGAGCCACTTCCAAAATGCGCGACCAAGTGTCGCAGAAAATGCAGCCTGCATTTCGACGCTGACTGACGATTAATATTTAACGATATCGAGCGCGGCGGTTTATTCGCTGGCGCTTCTCTCGCCCCGAAGGCGCGATACATTGTACACTCCCGAGAGAGAACGCGTGCGAGAGTCTTCTCTCGCATATCAGCAATTCTCAGCAGCGTATCTCCAGATATTAAAGAAATATGCGAAGAGCGCTGGAATATACGTCGTCGGGAAAGAGAGAGAGAGAGAGAGAGAGAGAGAGAGAGAGAGAGAGAGAGAGAGAGAGAGAGAGAGAGAGAGAGAGAGAGAGAGAGAGAGAGAGAGAGAGAGAGAGAGAGAGAGAGAGAGAGAGAGAGAGAGAGAGAGAGAGAGAGAGAGAGAGAGAGAGAGAGGGAGGGAGGGGTAGAGAGAGAGGGAGGGGTAGAGAGAGAGAGGGAGGGGTAGAGAGAGAGGGAGGGGTAGAGAGAGAGAGAGAGAGAGAGAGAGAGAGAGAGACTCTCGCAATACGCCGAGTCGAGTGTCGTAGCGCAAACGTTTCCCTTTATCTTGCGCTAAAGAGCATTCGGAAGAGCGAGTGCACTTTTAACGAGACTGACATCGCGACATTCTCCAAGCACTTTCTTTTTTTACAAACTGGCGTCCACACACACACATACACACACACACACACATACACACGCACACACGCACACACACACACACACACACACACACACACACACACACACACACACACACACACACACGCATACATGTACACATCGAAAAACACACGAACGAAGCGCGCACGCAAGTGTTACCTTCAATTTCCACGCGTCTCATTAACGCGGACGTTACACTCTTATTCATTGGTGTGTAACGAGACGAGGATAAAAATGCGTACCGACGAAGGCGACGGCTGCATTCCTCGCCGCGTGCCATCGCTTCTAAATTCAGACTTCCTCGTGCTCGTGAGTGATTTTTGATAAGAAATTTATAGAAGGCGCGAAGAGCGCGCGCGTAGTTGCGATGGCTCTTACGTGTGCTTACCGATTTCGATCGTCAGGCTCGTGCACGATGTGATGATCGATGACTCGCCGACGTCCTCGCAAGGGAGCGACGGGGAGGTCGGCAGATCCTGCGACGGAGTGACCGGCGACTCCGAGGATGAGGAGGTGGTCGTAATCCATCGGCACGACAACCAGAGCGGTCGCACCACTCCCGATGACAGCGAGGAGCTGGACCACCATTGCTCGATTATTGCTGACAGCGACTTCAGGTTGGTAACATCGTAAGTGTTTGCTCACTTATCCTTTATTGTATCCTTGCGCGTTTCATTGGTCTTGCATCTCCTCGAGCAGCGCCTCATAAATTCCTTCAAATCCCGCCCGGCTAAAACTGATTCGTGCAAAACTCTCCCTCCCTCCCTCGCGATTTTCCTCTTCCCGCGTCGCCGCGTCTTCCTTCGTCCTTCCGTCCCGTCCGCGGCAATATATTAATTAGCGTTGCATCTATCAGGTCCTGCGACACCCACGGTAACACCGCGCAATCTCATCGCGACGACCTTGATAAAAATAGCTCGGGCTTCCGGAAATCTTCTCCGGCGGGGAGACTCGCGTCGCGTGACTCATAATTATTAATTGAGCGCCGCCCGCCGCGTGCACGCAGCACGCAGCGGGAAGCGCGATGCACACAGACACAAACGTCCGGTTGCATCCGCGATAGTCCCCGGCACTTCTCCAAGCTCGGTCTTGGAATTTTCCTCGCTTCTTCACATGCGCTCGCCCGGCCTATTTTCGCAGCGTTAACCCCTCGCGCGACTCAGCGTTCTAGATTCCGCCCTGCGACAAAATTGCCGCTCCGATGATAGTTAAGCGATACCGCGACTGCGACAGATCAGCAAACTTTCACCCCACGTTGAGAGATGCACGGTACAATAACGAGCGAGAGACAATTACATATTTTCCTTTCTCTTCATCTTGTGCGTTTCTGCTCGAGATAGAAATATCAGGCAGACTATGACGAACGATGGTTTAGCTTACCAGACGCTTTACCCTTGGATGACGTTAGCTTGTTCGGTGGACTGAGCAGCAGGGGTCGATCGGTAGGCGGCGGCGGCGGCGGACCAGGACCGGGCGGGGGTGGCATTACCGGGACGGGGAACGGCGGCCGAGACAGCGTCGTCAGCGACGTCGGCGACTCGTGTTCCAGTTTGAGCTCCTGGCCTACGCCGGAACACGTACCGACGAATCGACCCGGAAGCGGCGGCACCGAGCGCCGACGTCGGAGATTGCCGGAAATTCCTAAAAATAAAAAGTGTAAGGAAGAAAGCTGGCCTGAAAACGGGACATCTCTCCTCGCAACGATCGCAACGACGCCACGCTCGTTAAGGGAGGAATTACAACGGCGGAAGGCCGTTTTCAAGGATATTCTTACGAATTTTTTTAACAGAAACGGTAAGATCGATGGACTTGAAATTTTCGCGGTGTATTCATTAGTGTTCAAAGTGTAAAATAAATTTGCTGCCATCTATATGGAAAGTACACATGAAACTTTAAACGCGGGGAAACACCCTTTTCTTAAAAGTCTGTCGACACGATTACGTAAAAATGTGTTGTGTGAAAATTTCAAGTCCATCGATCCCTACCGCTTCTGTTGACAAAAATTCGTAAAAATAGAAAACTGCCTGCTCCGCATGTAGTTCCTCCCTTAACACGCTACTACGTCGGCTTCGTATCGCCGAATTATCGTTAATTATTGAAAATGATGAAAAATGTCGGTGACAGTGATGATTCTCGTCGTCGGTGTGGACTTTCTCCAGCTTTATATCGTTTGTATCGTTGGATCATCTTGGAGCAGCACTCGACCGTTCCAAGTATCAGCTGTATCGTTTTCGCTCGTCGTCCGCTCGCGTCACACGTATCAATGAAATCGAGAAACCGGCCGCGCGATCGACCACAGCACAGAAAGAAAATCCAGGCGTATATTTACGCCACATCAGTTGTATAAGAAGCGCGGAATCGTAGAGCGGCGTTGTCGCGATTCGCAGTCACGAAGACCCTGTCTCGCCTCGTCTAGATCAGTGCGGGTTTATTCAGACAGGATCGCGCGAGAGGTGAACGAAGTGTTCAAGTTCCGGTGCGGAGTTTACGCACTTCGCACGCAACGTGATCGGAAGAGTCGAAGTCGCTATTACTTTCGCGGATATTACTTTCGCAACGACGAAATTCTTCCGTAGAGACGATAATAAAGTGTGACAGGGAGGGCGAAGGTTTCTCGTTTACCAGGCGCGGCACGCGCATTTATTAAAGTCTCGCGGTGTCGTTTCAGCTGTACCCATGTGTCAAACGTCCATGCAGACGTCGTCCTCGTTGGCAGATGAGTTGAGTGCCGCCACCGGCTCGTCCTCGGTTCGGCCTCACCTTGTCCTGAGGAAATGCCACCCCAGACTTCGCCATGAGGATAGCTCGCCCGACAGCGAGAGAATGGCCACCGACAGTGGTCATTCCACCGCTCATTCCCCTGAAAACGGTCCCAAGAGCGTGTCGCCCATACCTTGCAACACCCTGCAGAACACCGATTCGGTCTCGCCCAGCAGCACCCCAGGTAACCGCAACTTCTTTCAGAATTATCCCGGATAGCACAATGACATCCTTCGGAAATCCTAAGGACCGACACCCGTAGAGACAGCACAAAAAGCACTCGACTCGATTCTAAATTGGAATTGGCAAATTGAATACATTAATAATTCAATTTCATTTTTAGAAGCAAAAAATCTTTAATCTTTAATTTTTCGATCTCCTGGGATTCTAAAGTTCTTTGATTCTAAGAGAAATCGAGCTATTAATGGCATTTAATCGGCCAAGTCCGAGTTAAGATCAAGTCAAATGCTTTCCTTCGCTTGTACTTATAATCTAAATGGAAAAGACGAAAAGATTTCTCCCGTTCAGTCTTGAGACATTATTTAGCAGGTTGTGACCCGTTTGGGTCCTTATGGTATTTGTGACTAGCGGATATGCAGTGGACATTTGCGGAAAATTTATATTTTATTACAATACTTGACATTCTGAAATTATCTCTAATGTCGCATTATAATTAATGAAGATAAATAAAAAAATTTACATACACAAAATTTTCATTTAAAGTATTTGCAATAAAGCAATTATAAATTAACAAAATATCTCAGAATTATCCTAAATTGTATCCTGGGATACTTTCAGGACATTTCCATATCCTGAAAATAATCCAGAACATCCTGGACACATTCAGGACGTCATCCTGAGGACGTCTTGTGCTGTCTGCGTATCTTTCTTCGATTTGTTAAATTGTTGAGTTAAGCTCTCTCGTTCCTCTTGATTTTACAACGCCATATATAGTGTGTGCGTGTATGCGATATGACAAAGTTTAATCAAAATTCTATTAATATATTATATATATATATATATATATATATATGAATATATATGAAATCTAATATATATGAAATAATATATATGAAATAATATGAATATATATGAAAGCTAATTTGAAATTGTGTGTACACAAAGAGAGAGAGAGAGAGAGAGAGAGAGAGAGAAAAAAGATACTTTATTATTTATCTGTTTAGTCAAAGTGGTTCTTTTAAAATTAATTAATCTTCAATATAAACGACTCAGTGACCTGGATTTTAACTTTAGAAAGTCTGAAAGTCTGAAAATTGCACAATGATATTATTGCTTTGCAAAAAATACAACTGCCTTTCACAACACGCCTCGTGTCTTTACCGCTAGAATTTCCCGCGAAGCTTATCCGCGTCCTGTCCGGACGCGGATTTGATCGCCTCAGACGTTCGGAAGTTCGAGGAAGTTTTGAAAGCCGGGACTGTCGCGCGCGTCATAAATTGTTTTCGAACGGATCGGAGGAAATGGCGATCAATGGCAGTTCGCTCTTTTTTTATCTCGAAGGGAGCGGAGGCGTGCCGTTTACTCAACTGGAACTGCTCGAGGCGACGCATCGAGGCTTGCACAAGTTCGTACCGCGGCACCATGACGAAATTGATCTTGAAATTGGAGACCCCATATACGTGCAGAAGGAGGCCGACGACCTGTGGTGCGAAGGTTCGTAACGATGTTTCAGTCTCATGTTCTTTAACGCGTCCAACTCGACGATCATGCTTCTACTCATCTGATAAAACGAAGGCGATCAACAAAGGCGATTCAAAACTCTAATGCGACGATGAAAGTGGGAAAAGGACAAGAGAATCAAATATAATATATTAATCTTATTAAAATTCGATGAAAAAGAAAACGTGCTTTATTCCTTGCGGATCAGGTGTCAATCTGAGGACAGGCCGGCAAGGTATCTTCCCGTCTGCGTACGCGGTCGATATGGACTACAGTGACTTCGATCCTACCGCGCCTAAAGTGAAGAGGGAGAGATACCTTCTGGGTTACTTGGGCTCGGTGGAGACTCTGGTGTACAAGGGCACAGGAGTGGTTTGCCAAGCGGTACGGAGGATCCTTCGCAACTCTCTGCAGGAGCCGCCCGTGTCGCAAAGCTGCATCCTGGAGGTGTCCGATCAGGGCCTTCGGATGGTCGACATAAGGAAGCCGCCGGTAAAGCGACTGCGGGCTTTGCTGCTTTCATATTACTTTCAGTTCAGCTGATATTTCAATCAAACTCGCGCGCGAACGTGACCAATTAGTTGTAATTGGACGTTCGTCACAAACACACACACACACACATATACACGTCGATATGCGGGAGAAGAAACGGGAGGCCACTTGTAATCGTATCGACGTAACTTTGCAGAAAAGTCAGGGTCCCTGTCACGACTATTTCTACTCGCTGAAGAATGTGTCGTTCTGCGCGTTTCACCCTCGCGATCATCGCTACCTCGGCTTCATCACGAAGCACCCCACTCTGCAGAGATTCGCTTGTCACGTGTTCATCAGCCAGGAATCCACGAGACCCGTCGCCGAAGCCGTTGGGTGAGCATAATAGAGATGCAAGTTCAAGAATACACGTTGTTTTTTCTCAACCGATCTTTTTCAATGCAAAAGATCTGATTTGAAAGCCGCCGTGTCTCCACCAGCGAATCTATCAATTTGAACCTTCTCTAGTATTTTATAAATAAATTTTTCACCATTGCCATTGCATTATGTTGTTGTTGTATGTGAGAGCTACTGTTATTATTGTTGCATCTCACATAATTATTATATATTTGATATTTTGCGATTAAATATCCTTTTTATAAATTTCGTACGAGGAGAGAGCAAAACTCGCGTTCCGCGATGACACGAATGACTGGGCGAACAATTCGAGGCGATTAACTCGAGATGCTTCCTTTCTTCTTTCAGGCGCGCTTTTCATCGGTTCTACACGAAATTCATCGAGACTGCTTTCCCGATAGAGGACATCTACATTGAATAAATTTCTCTCGGCCTCGGACGTATAGCGGCTGCGGAGGAAATGATATGAATCTCACTTCCCCACCCCCTCCCCCGTGACCCTTGTACATATAACCCGCTAGTTGTAGATATAAAATAATAAACGCGAATCAAACACCCAATTTATACATATATTGAACATATGTATATCTATGTGTACTGGGCGTTTTCGGGATAAGCGTCGCGATAAGGGACCGATTCTCCGATTGATATTTCGTTCTCCCGTAGCTTTCTTTCCGATTCGTCGCTCGTCGCCAATTCTGTCCCGACTCATGCGTGCAATCCAGTACGGTTCTACATATTTAATGAGAAGTGAAGAAATGGGAAGAAACGATGTCGACATCGGCCGACATCGACCGACAGGATCGTCTTGATTTCTCGTATACGGATATCACGCGATGCATATTGGCTGAAGCTTCACATTGAATTTAAATCTGTTTCCCGGCCTTCTTCCGCGTCACGTACAATTTTCAAGTGTTTTCCTTTCAACGTCTGGATAGAACGTAATAGTCGTGCACGAAGAGTGCTCGTTAAAGACCCCTAATAAGCAGATTTAATAATCGATAGTAAGAACGAGTTAATTCCTAAAGCCCCGATCCTACGACCAAGATAATCCGCTTAGTGACGTTTAGGTAAAGAGAAGGGAACGACAATAGCGTTGGATCGGAGTTTAGCGAGGAAAAATCGTAGCGGAAGTTGAGTGATTTTTCGTTTCAAGTGACGCTTGACGCGTGTGACTTTCAGCCGTTGCGCAACGTATGAGATTTCTCCGCGCGAGAACGGGGCAAAAGCCGTGTTTCTCATTTCATCATGTGTGTAAATACATGCGAGACTTTCGACCGCGATGTCTTATTCTTTTCATTCGATATCGTTCGAAAGCCTTTCCTCAGCATCTCAGAAGCGCGATTGTCAATTCACAGAGGACACGATTCTAATTCAGGCCGAATTAAAAGACAAAACAATCAATTGATATCAAGTAGAGTCAACGTTGATCAACGTTCTCAGCTTGTGCGTTTGGAATAACGAAGCTCTAAATTGTGTTCCCGTACGGCAGACAGTGATTCGTTTTCGCTCTTAGTTCTCAGAATCCATTACGCGAAATTCATTATGTCAATTGAACTCTGAACACTCACAATAATCCTGGAACGAGAAATATGTCGGGATTTGTGCGATTTTTCTTCTCCTAAGTCGGGAAAATTTCGCGCTGCGCGACGCGTCGTCGAGAAAGAGAGAGTGTGTGTGTGTGTGTGTGTGTGTGTGTGTAATCTCGCACAGTCGAACGTGCTTTCGCTGGCGGCGGTCTTCTTCTTCATCGTAGCAACGAAGCGGTCGTCTGTAGAACGATGTCCAATCGTATTGTTCTCGTATTATTAGGGAACGGCGGACTGCGCGCGTCGCCATTAGTAACGTCTCATATATTTTTCTATCTTTCTTTGCGGCAGGGTCACCGATTCTGAGTTCCATTGTGCATAACGATAAGGCTTAAGGAAGTTTGTACTCTCGAGTCCCCGAGCCCGACGAAAGCGAGCCCGCGAGAAAGACGACAACTATATCGAAACGCACATTGGCCTCTGTATATTCCGGATATATCGTATCGCGCTGCGTTGTTGCAATGACATTGTCTCACCGAACGCTTATACAGTATGAACCAAATTGCAAGTACACGTTGTTGCACGGATAGATGCGAGATGTCAACTCTAGGATGCGTAATGCGAGAGGGAGGGGGGGGAGGGAGGCGGCGAGACCTCTCGCCTCTCGCGGAGTGATATCGCCGTTACTCTCCGATCGTTTCTGCATAATTTGCACGGGAGCCTCAGATCACTTCCCATTGGACTCCGGTGGACGAGGTCGAGATCGTTCCTCCGCCGAGTTCCTTCGTCTCGCGAACCTTCGTCGGCAGGCTGTGCAGTATTCTAGGCTCGTGGAGATGCGATGTCGGGAACGACATCGCTCGCGTTGCGCTCGCGAACGGCGTATATTTACCGTCAATCGGAAGTCTCTCACCATCATTACGGATCGATCGTACTTTATTCAGTTCACTCTTTTACACTGCCTTTATCAGGACATCGCGTGTGTACAGTATTCTGGAGCCGGACAAGTCGCGTCCTCGTGCTTGGGGATCTCCGCTATCTCGCCGACGCGAGCGACGTTGTACGTTCACTAGTCATTTCTCATTTCTCTGTGCGCAGCGCTTTGAATTACTTGGCAAAGCGTATTTACGGATTTAGAAGTATATCTTTCACTCATGTTTGTGATTGTTTAACGACGCGATGGCGTCGTTGCGTCGGCGCCGCTCGATATCGGAGGATCCAAATTCACGGCGAGGTCTCTCACATTCTCGCGAGATCGCGAGATCCGCCGTGTGCGCGACGGTCTCGTCAATTTGCAGATTCCTCCTCGACAATACGTTCTATCTTGGGATTTGGTGCATGTTAGATAAGTACGATTCTCTCACGCGCCTCAATTATACGGTATATTGAATAAAAATTGAGAGACAAATTATACAGTGTCGGTGATTACTCATTCTCAGGAGAGAGACTCTACATCATCATCTACATCCATCACGACTCGCAGACGCATCTGACAGGTGCCTTCGGTTGGGATCGCCTCGGAACGCCGTGCCTTTCCGATTATTTTCTCATACTGCTGACCACGTAATCTCATACAACGCGCGTGTAAGCCCACTTTATATTTCGACGACACGATCGTTCTTCCCGAGTCTCTCTCTCTCTCTCTCTCTTCACGATACACACACACACACACATTCACCGAACAGAATAAAGGGGTGAGTGATGGAAAAACGAAAAACGAACTTTTCACTGAATCTCTCGATCCGCCACCTCCTTGCCCACTGAAATGGAAACCGACAGGGATCCACATTTCAACATCGACCCGAGAAACCCGTCCGCTTATATTTTACGCACATCGATCGGCCAGTGTGGAATTTCTCGTGTCGTACAAAACAGAAATCCAAATCAACGATGTGACGAAGCCGTCGTGATTTCACGTATGTGTGTATGTAAACCTCGCAAGCCTCCGCGATTGTTTTCCGAGAGACGACTACGTTACTCGCGTGATAAACAACGAGCGACGTCAGCGTCTTGCCACGCTACGGTGTGTGTTTCCTCAGCGTCGGCGTGGATTGTAAGCGAGGGCAAAACAAGGACAAAAAGGTAGAGAAGGTTCGAGCGCGTAAAGCGAATAAATCACGATCGATCCCTTCCCACGATATCCGTGGAATACGTATACATATGTATGTACGATACGATATTACATATATTTCTTCCAGGCAGTATTATTTACAAAAATGTTCCATCTTCTACGAAATCTTGATAATTCAGTCTTGACACAATAATTATACGTGTACATGATCCCCAAACATTATATTTTTCATTATTGGTTACATTAAAAATTCACTTTTTTGTTTTTCGTTTTCTTTCTTCCTTTCCTTCTTTGTTTGTTTGTTTTACCTACGTATCCTTTTGCTGGTTCTAATGATGGAAGTAGGAAAAGGAGCGAGTGTGTGTCTCTATGCCGGACTTTTTACACGATACGTAGGTCGTTACTGTTTCAATTTGTCCCGACGATATATCGTTTTTGCGATTTGGTCTAACTTGCAGGCTTCGCGTGATGAGTCTTTAAAATTTGCATTGCTCGCTTCGGTTCGTACTCGACGAAGTCGTTCGTTACAAATCGCGCGTGCGAATGAAAGATATCTCTCTTTGCGTTTTAGCTCTTCGTCGATTTGATTTTTTTCCGGTGCATTATCTCCGAATTATCGAGAACTCAGGCACTATAAATCAAACGTTCGTGCTGTCTTGGGAAAATCGATCGTAAACATTTTTATAAATCTCTGCGCGCGATTTCGCCGATCGTCCGCGATGGATGCATGTCTCCGTCGCGGGAGAAGCCAAGTTTCCGCGACCGCTATCTTACGGAAGTCTCGTGGCAGGAATCATCCACCTTCGGTGTAAGGTCCAACGAAAAGCTGACATGCACACGCTCCTGGTCGTCGATCTTTTTTTTTAGTCCGTAACTGCGTTATCGTTATCGTTATCGCCGATAAGAGGCATCGACAATTAATCAAAAACGTTAATTAAGTTAACACCCTCTCGACATCGGCCCATCAAGATACCCTCAGTCTGCTCAGTCGGCTTGCGCCGCGATGCAAAGTAAAAGACGCCGAATCTCGTGTGCAACCGCGATCGCGTTCATTATTGATGCTCCGAAAAAAAAAACTATTCTCTCGCGTATTTCGCGAGAACGTGCGCGGAAAACGACGGCTCGGTGGTGGATTTCTGCCAGGATGTGCCGGAACGCGAATTACATTCGACGTTCCTCAACAATTCTATCGGCACTGACACATCTCTTAGGGGGAGGGGGGGGGGTGAGGATAGCGAAGAGAAACACTGAGATGATTACACGTTAGAGAAACAAAACTTTCTCCACAAGCGCTTTACGCTCGTACAATTATCGGCCGCTTCATGCACGGGTCGTTTCGAGTTTTCGTTCGATGATTCAAGTCGACGGGAATATCTGTAACGTGTGAGCAAGTTCTCCTTTCCTTCTCGTCTCTCGCGAGAACGCACGTGGAAGGTAAGTTGTAAAGCATCCCCTTCCATCCGCGCGCGCGCGCGCGCGCGCGCGCGATCGTTTTACATAAAACAATTCTATTATTATGCGCATGGTGTTTCAGCGAGCGGTACGTCACCGTGAGGTCACGTGCAGCTAGCTCTCCTCTTCCCTCTCGTCGGTGTACGCTCGATATAAATTACTAATACAATCCGCATCCTGCCGCTTCTCTCACGAGCTTCGCCGCTAAATTAATCAACAAAATAAGGAGGTAGAAAAGCACACTTGACTCTCTCGGATGCGAGATGTACAACAACAACAACGTGAAAAAACATTGCGACGCGTCCCTCTCGTCAAGTACCCCAAGGTAGAACAGAAAATCACCATGACATCAAAATGACGAGAAAATGACCGAATCGTAATGAAAAAAAAGAGTTTTCCTCATCATTTTGACGTCATTCTGATGTCATCATGATTTTCTGTTCTGCCTGGGTATGAGACCCTCCGAAACTCTTTCACGTTTCGAGAGGGAAAACACAATAACGAATCGAATTGTACAATTTCTTGGTCTCACGAAGATCCAACCGGCACCGAAGCGTGTGTGTGCCATCCTGCACTTAGTGTGTATATATTTATATATGTATGTATATAGGCGTATATAAGAAGAAGAATGTGTACACAACCACACACCGCTCAAAATTGCCTTCGCTTTCGTGTCCGTTGTAAGAAAGAAATCGAGAAGCCGCTTCCTCTTTGTTATGCGCGTGCAATTAGCAGAGTATAAAATATAATATAACATAGTGTTTACACAATGGTACAAAGTTAAACCTTATCTTATCGTAATGTAGGGCCGTCTGTCTGTGTTGCATTGGTATTCGCTCACTTTCAAATGTTTGCATAAATATCGAGAGCAACCGTTCGCCGCGTTGCCGCTTAGTTATCTTAAAGTTAAAGGGAATTCAGAGTAGAGGGTTCCTCTTTCTTTTTTTCCGTTTTCCTTTTCTCCTTTCGATATCTTTCTCCGCGAGAGTAATCCTCCTGTAATGTTGTGTTTATTGTGTTTGTGTGACTGTGCAATCACAGACGGGAGTTGAACTTTTGCGCGCGCATAATTCGTATCCGCGTATCGAGGAGAGACTTCAGATGCCTCTACTCCGTTTTTCTTTTCGGAACAACGACTAAATTCTTAAACAACTATGACGCGCGGTCCTATAACCGCCGGTGAGAAAAATTTCGGTGACGCTTGGCTGCCCGTCTCGAGTGTGAGTCGCAACGATAATGCAAAGATTCGTAAACGTAAACACGATTACACGATAATCGATAACTACAATACTTGGCTCCGATTGATTTCTTTTTTTCTCTCTTCTTCTTGCTTCGACCAACTCGGTCTCGCCGTTCTCTTGGTCTCGACCAACGTTTGTCACGTTCAAGACACACACACACACACTGACAACCAAGCTCACGTACAGAGTACTCCCAGTATCACGAAACACACCGATATCAGTCATCAGCGATCATCAGGTGATGACTAACGACAGAATGGAGGGATAGCTCGAGAGAAAGAGAGAGAGAGAGAGAGAGAGGGGGGGGAAGGGAAGGGAGAAGATGAGGTACACCGAACACAGACAGTTTAGACTTGTTCTTTGTACTATAAGATCGCGAGAAAAACTGGACATCAAGAGTGCGTGACGTCGAGCCACCAAGACGTCCAACAAGACGATAGCTAGACCTCCGTCTAGCCGCGTTATCGTCGGTTATGCAATGCGAATCTCTCATTACGTATATGTTTCGGTTAGATAATCTTCCTTCTGCGGTGAGCCTTCGCGTAAAAAGTGTAAATTCTTACCGACAACGTGCGATCGCCATATGTGAGGACAGTCAATCTTTCCCGTTGGAATCGACAGCGAAACCCCCGAGTCGGGTCGCGCAATCTCTCGCACTTTGTCTAACTGTACCGTAATCAAGAGAAGTTATTATCGACCGACCTGACATCAGCGTCAAACGACATTAAAAACGATTTAACGACAATTTTTACAATGGATATAATATGCTTCCTCATGTATGGCATTGTCTGTATGTTCGCGCACGTGTGTGTGTGTGTGTGTGTGTGTGTGTGTGTGTGTGTGTGTGTGTATACATATCATTACATCGTATTCTTTACAAGTTACAATGCAATTCCAAGTTCTCACAGATATATGCACGATAATAGCACGCAGGAGCACGAAAAAAAACTCATGTGACGTATTAGATTGATCCGAAATTCCATCTTTTTCTTACTTTTACATCATCGGTGTAAGAAGCGTCATATAGGAACGTTTTGATACATGACACGAAGGACAGATCTCTTCCTTGTCGTATGGTATGGCGTAACAGCCCCCGCGCGACGCAGGGGTCAGGAAGAATCTGTTCAGGAGATATAATCAGAAATTTCAACCTATCTTTATCAACAGTGAGCGGTACTTTGCGGACCGCCGTATAGAGTTTCTACACTCGGAACAGAAATCTCACTGGCCCGCTGCGTGCATCGACTTGAGAGGTAATGCGTGCCCTGGGGGATGCCGTTCTGGCACCGTTTCGCCTCTGATCGATCTAATATTGGAGAAACAACGTACGATTGCAGAGATACTGGATACACGATGTTGATGATCGACTGTTGGACGACTAACTGCTTCGTTCGGAGAAAACAATCAGCTACTGACCGGACTGACGCTGTCGGATCCGAGGAACATATCGCATTTAACATTCTTTTATTTACAGGACCAACCTTACGTTATATACCTATACATACGCGTAAAGTCCGAGCAAACTCGTAGATCTGTCAAGTCAACCGGTGTGCTGAATACACAGTGTACAATTTCGCGAGCCACTCATCTATATATAAATATCTTTTACACGCTCTCAAACACATTTTCTCTCTCGAGATATAAGAGATACGATTTGTGTGTTCACGCGACCATGCTGATCCGCGGCGTCGTAAGTAATCGCCGGGAGTCACGGTTGACCGATGTGCAATATTGTGTGTCAATAATTGGCACGTAATAAGTCGATCGTGTTTAGCTTCCATGCCACTATCCTCATGCTCATGAATACGGAGGTCAACTGCTACCGATGAGATAAAAATAGCGTTTATTAATATGTATATTCGCGCACAGTAACATCATATTGGATGGATAGTAAGGCCAGTAAAACACAAAGATAATACACGAGCGAATTTGAGGGAACGTAATAAGTGTATACAGTAAAACCTCGTACCTAAAAAAAGATCGAGAAACGTACTACACATAATTCTCGAGCTAGGCGGTTCGTTCTCGTAAGAAGTTGTTTGAAATAAAAACACTAAAGTCCATGCGTGTATAGTAAGACTAATCATGTTGTCTCGTTTATGTCTGTATTACTTACACATTTACCCTATATGTATATGTATATAGATAGTATGTCTATATATTATTATTATTATTATTATTATTATTATTATTATTATTATTATTATTACATTCAATATTTCTTTATGCTATGTTGCGAAATTAAAATATTCTTCTAGTGGACCTGCTGCGTATGTTTATGCAATTTTAGAGCAACTTTTTCGTGTCTCCTCGTCCACGTAATAAGAATTAAAGTTTAAAATAAAAACAAATAAATAAATAAAAATAATAAATTTACGTGTTATATATGAACCGATCATGCAATATGCTGTGCTTGAACATATTATATTCTTGTCCACTCGACACATACAGTACATCAGTATCCCTTTGCACGTTATAAAGTTAAAGTATTTCCTGAGGTCACACTTATATAATAATGTAATGGAGAAATTTAGAGCTTTCTCTTTCCAGTATCCCTTCTTTCACGCGCTAAAAAAAGTAAAAAAAAAAAAAAGAATATATATATATATTTGAGTAAGAACGGTAAGGTGGTGTTAGACCAATCATGGAAAAAATGCCGTTTCGTTTGCGTCTGTTAAATATATTATTTACAATTACCCTATGTATCGTTACACTTAATATTCTTTTGTACGTTGCAAAGTTAAAATAGTCTCAGAGGTTCTACTGCACCTGTACAATAAAATTTAGAGATTTTTCGTGTCTCTTTGTTCACGCAAGTACGCAATAAAAATTATATCCAAGATGCGCGACAAGTTACGCCACTACGAGTTTGTCTTTTTCATCGTAAAATCGCCGATCAACGATCACGAACAGCATTCTGAGTATTGTTAAACCTCGATACCGTAAGAAATCGATAATTATAATCAATAGAAGAACGTAGAGACTGGTTTCGTATCCATCCGATACATGCCCAAATCGCAGAGGTAGATTAAGCTCGACCGGAAGCACGGTGAGCGTGTAAAATCAGTGTAAGGAAAGAGCGTCGCACAGGAGCGTGCCACACGATTATCGAAATCCAAGATACACTATATACACAAGAGTTCGCTATCGTAAAATTTGAAAACTGCCAACTGTGTAACATTCAATCGCCGCAGAAAAAACTCATGAAGCCATTGTCGTTAGGCGCGAGTCGGGTTTTTCGCTGATGCGCGTAATCGTCCGGCAAACGTTTTCTAGTTGTCAGCAAGAAAGGATGATGCTGCGTTCGATCGTAAAAAATTATGTAAAAAGTTCTTGGGAAATTAATAAAGAGAATATGAGATATATACCTATATATATGTATGTATATATATATATATGTATATGCAATGTATATAATTATAAAAAGATAAGTGATTTATGTATGCCCTTACCCTAAGCCCGTTCTATATTTGTCTGCCGAAACTTTTGCATCTACATAGAAACATACATCGCTACACCCATTGTCGCGCATGTGCGAGAATTACGACCGGTTTAACAACATTGGCTTGTGCGGCGATTGTTAATAAAAGACCGGTCACCAACGCCAGCATCCGCACGATCACGTTGGGTGAGCAAAGTCCTTTCGCGCGACAACGTGCAACAGAGTCCTTGCTCGTGCAAAGTTGAGAGAGATGGAGGGGGCGGAAGAAATAAGAACGTAAGAAAAACATTTGCGTGCACGTCAATCGCTCGGCCACTTTGCACAAATAATTTTTCTCGACGTCTCACGTCGCTCGCTTCTTCCTCTCCACGTTTGATCGACGGAAAAATGCGGGTAGTAGTGGATGAATTATTAACGGTCTTACTTAGGCAATGTCCTTCCTGTGCTTCTCTTCGTAAGAACCAAACGCTTTCGCAGCGAATTGCGCCGTGTCGCAAATTTCCGTTCGTCTACTGCACCGATGGTGACGGTCATCCGGATATTTGTTCCGAACTTCTTTTTTCTCTTTACGATATCGACAATTCGAAATCGAGGGAGCCTCCCAGGACGCGATGTCAGGAGCACGAATTGAGAGATATCACAAAAATTGCACCTATGCTGACTGTTGCTTCTTCGGTCCCTCAAGGGACGATCTTTGTCCTTCACATGCGATCCCTCGCAGAGTAGGATAATTTTTTTTAAAGCTTATTTCTTAACGATTAGCGCGACTCCTGGGAATACCCTATTAAGCTCGCTTTGGATCTCTTAAAAGGGGCTTCAAATTGGATTGCTTGAAGCAACTGATCGACTACCCCAACTCTCACATTCCCGTGTGTTTGCCGTTCATCTGCATATTATGATGCTCTTGTTGCAAATTTTTCAGCATCTGCTTCTGTATATTGTGTTCAGTCTGGGAAAAAAAGAAATAGTTAATAATTTGAGCGTATTACGCACATGATACACTCCTCAGTATGCACTTATCCTATAATTGTGCATACCTGCAGGTGTGACAAGTTCTCTCTTTGAACGCGAAAGGCCGGGTTCTCCAAATCGCGTGCTAACACGTTGAGCTGTGACTGTCGTAGCGTCATACTCTTTGCTATTTGCTGATGTGTCCGTCTTATCTTATCGTTAATCGTTTGCTACAAGCATATTATATAATACAAAGTTTCACAAAATCTAATCTGTCAAGTGCGTTCAGACTATCGTCAATTATGTGTTATTTATCGTTGTACACTTACATCGTCAGGTGTTGGTTGGTGCATTTTCCTATCGTTGAAACCATCTGAAATGATACGACAGAGAAAGAGAGAGGTAGAGAATGTGAGAGAGTGAGAGAGAGAGGTAGAGAATGTGTGTGTGTGTGTGTGTGTGTGTGTGTGTGTGTGTGTGAGTGAGTGAGTGAGTGAGAGAGAGAGAGAGAGAGAGAGAGAGAGAGAGAGAGAGAGAGAGAGAGAGAGAGAGAGAGAGAGAGAGAGAGAGAGAGAGAGAGAGAGAGAGAGAGAGAGAGAGAGAGAGAGAGAGAGAGGAGAGAGAGAGAGAGAGAGAGAGAGAGAGAGAGAGAGAGAGAGAGAGAGAGAGAGAGAGAGAGGAGAGAGGAGAGAGAGAGAGAGAGGAGAGAGAGAGAGAGAGAGAGAGAGAGAGAGAGAGGAGAGAGAGAGAGAGAGAGGAGAGAGAGAGAGAGAGAGAGGAGAGAGAGAGAGGAGAGAGAGAGAGAGAGAGGAGAGAGAGAGAGAGAGAGAGAGAGAGAGAGAGAGAGAGAGAGAGAGAGAGAGGAGAGAGAGAGAGAGAGAGAGAGAGGAGAGAGAGAGAGAGAGAGAGAGAGAGAGAGAGAGAGAGAGAGAGAGAGAGAGAGAGAGAGAGAGAGAGAGAGAGAGAGAGAGAGAGCGCTAATTGAACCAACACATTTCGCCAAAGATATTCGCAAGCACTAGTTGTAAGATAATCATTCTTACAAATGTAAAAGACATCGAGACTTACTTTTAAAGTCTGGTACAGGCCCAATATCGAATATTTTCATGATTTCTGTCAGAACAGAAAAGAAATGCTTATCAAGGACGTGCCATTTTTTTTTATGGGCTATATGTAAGCAACTCGTAGGTAAAGTGGCAACAGTCAACAGACACCTAATCGAATGAAAAAGGAATTTGAGTTCAAGTGAAAGCCGCATGTATGTGCATCGCGAGTTCATTTCATCTAATAGACAGAAACTAAATTGTGTGTTCAACGGACGAGAGCGCGGTTTACTGTTTGCAGTACCTGAATTCGCGTCCAGCTCTGGATTTAGCAGCGTGTCGTCCTTCCGATCCTGCAGATCATTAAACTGCTCCTCCTCGAGGTTCGTTATAATCAGCGGCGCGGCGGGATGGTCGCCGATCAGCTGCTGATACTCGACCCCGATTTCTTGCAAACTCGAGGTGGGCGACTCCACCGTCATCAGCGGCTGCGAGTTGACGTCGTTGTAGCGGTTGAACTCGGCGAGCACCGGATAGCTGTTCTCGGCCATGAAGGTCGTCCGGCAGTCCATGTAGGAGACACTCTGTTGCATGTCGTTGTCGTTCGTCGACATGTATGTCTCGTTGGGCCTCTTCTTGTTGCGCATCGCGGCGAGGTCCTCGTCGCTGCATATCCTCTTCAACGTGCACCGATTGTGCGACTCGGTCGTGGGCGAGACGACGGGACGGTCGTTTGTGGCGGCGTCGTTATAGTATTGCAGCTCCCTGTTGTCTAGGTAATCGTACCCTTCAACGCCGCGCTCGACTTTGATGTTGCACGTCGACTGCTGCTGTTGTTGCTGTTGCTGGTGCTGGGTTTGCTTGACCCTCTTCTGCGCGCTCAGAACGTTCGCGCTCTGGGGCACGTTCATGCCCGGTAAATGACTGCAGGGAGCGACGTTGCGGGAATTCGCACCAGCCTCGCAAACAGCGTGAATGTTCGAATGCGTGATATCGTCGCTTTGGACGTTGGTGTGGTTGTTGGACATGGAATTGATCGTCTCGTACATCGATAGAGGCTTGCCGGACGACGGCTTCGCGCTCTCCGAGTCCGACATCTGCTCCCCGTCGCTGGAACTCATGTATTTTCCGTCACAGGAGTGCCTATCATTGGTCTCTTTCTTTATGCTCGGGCTCTGCTTGCCCTTGCCTTGCAGAGCGACGTAGTGCTCGATCTTGTTGATGCCGATCTTGTTGGCCTGCGTGGCGGCGGGTGGCAAACGAGAGGATATGATGGCGGCCTTGACGAACTGGGTGTTCGGCATCGGCGCCGGTGAGAAACGCTCCTCCGACACAACCGGCGACGAGGGTAGGTCGCTGACCAGCTGGGTGATGGCGTCTTCGAGTCGCGCTGGTTCCTCGAGGTTGCATTTCGCCGGTTTGCAGGACATGGTGTCCTAATAAATGAACGAGCCGGGGGGGGGATAGGGGGGATTCGTTAACCTTCTTACTCTCCGGGTCTCGTGTGCAAAGTTCAACGGCAAATTCGACGGAACTGAACAAACACGCGGGGAAATTATTGAACTTACCAACTTCGGCTGCGAGGAGTTGTCGGTGTCCTGAATCATGAATTTGCTGGTGCCGGCTTCCACGACCGCGGAGAATCTTTGTTTCATCTCCTTGATCAGTTCGATGCCTTCCTCTTCCCTGCGCATAAAATTCCCATCGTAACTACGAGTCTCGCCTACACTGCAAACCCGAGTGTGTTACTTTGACACGTATAAGCTGAAGCTTTCTTTAGGCGTTTCTTGTCGTCTGAAATCACGTCATTTCAATGCATCTCGATATCACTCGGCGCGTTTAAACGCGCTAAACGACGCGATTTAAGACGACAAGATACGCGTAAAGGAACTTTCAGCTTATACGCGTCAAAATAACACACTCGGGTTTTGCAGTGTACGTGCGATATGCGTGCGCGATGTTCATCAGATCGGACAGGAAAAGAAGACATCTTCTCATCGGACGAGTGGAAAAATGGTCGGGACGACGTGCAAAAACAAGAGCCATTCAGCAAATTTGCTTGTAACTTTAGCGCGAACCTATTCTCCGCGTATTATCCGGGGAATTTGTCCGGGGAAACTCTCTCAGGGGGAAACTCTACTCGCCTTTTTATTTCTCGCTACATTCAGCGCGCCTGATATTGGAGATGCAAGTGCGTGCGTCTCTCTCTCTTGGCGCGAAGTGTTACCGCGTCTGTCTATTGATCGATCGGAATCGGGCCCGCTCTATTCGCTCCTCCGCAATCCTCGAGCTGTACTTACGATATTAACGTGTTGATGCAGACAAAGGACTCGAACGTCTGCGTGTCCTTGTCGTACTCGAGATAACCGTGCGTCCGCAAGTAGATAAATTCGCCGGTTTTGGCGAGTAATCTGTAGCAAGATGTACCGCAGGTCACGGCTTGGACGTACACTGCGAAATGCACAGGGAATGTTATCAGCGGTTGCAGATTACGAGGCGGATTACAAAATCCCCACGCGAGAGTATATTTTTACTTCGTTCTCACGCGCTTCGGACCGAGCAGCGGCGCTTCGTCATGCACCTTGTCGGCGCGCATTTAAATTGCAATTGGGTTTGATAACAATATGCAAAGCAACGTAGGCGCTTCGCGCTCACGACGCCTACGAATACGTTAAAATAACAATGCTGGCGTCGCGCATACGATACTACAACTCGGGCGATACAACTGTCAAAAATGAGGCGCAGCGCAATATAACTTCGATAATTCGACGTTGTGTACGTGTACATGCATAAATATGCCACCGTATCTCGATCGCAATATCGAGTTATATTTGTCACGCGCGTTATCACTTCGATATTATTCCGTAACGGTAAAGGAAAATCTCTCCGCGACGCTACAATGCGCAACGGCTGCGATTGATCCGAATGATCGTGAAGAAACGCGTCACGTCGACCGACGAGCGCGAGGAGCTCGACGCTAATTACTCTGAAACGCAACAAGCCTTACTTTGCTGTAGGCCAATCATCGTCCATTTATAGTCATCCTTGTGCATGAAGGCGAACGCACTCAGGCCCGACACCTCCTCCGATAAGTAGCCGGCGACGACGGACACCCTGTGGTCGCAGTAGATGATACGCCCGTCGATCAGATGCCGCGTCACATACTCGTCTTTATTGGCGTCGATTATCGACAATTCGGTGATGGATCGTTTCTTCGGCAGGCTCGCTATGCTGGCGAACACGATGTCGTTGCTGGTACTCGCCATCTCTGCCGAGGGGCCATTTGTCCGAGAAATTAGCGAACAATGACGAAACATGAGAATTGGAAGGCCGCTTGGCGCGTGCTCGGCGCGGAATGAATCGAGTCGGTTCTGCATTCTGATTTGAGTATCAAGATGTGTAAGGTAAGCGTGAGAATAGCCGGGCGACGAAAAGCGCGGCTCTCTGCGCATCACAACTGTCAAGCAATTTCCCAAACGACATTTGCCCGTCGGATAACTGCCTTTTATATTTACAAACAGAACCCCAAGGCGGGGGTAACAAATCACGTTTTACCACTCGCGCGAGAGAGAGAGAGAGAGAGAGAGAGAAAGAGAGAGAGAGAGAGAGAGAGAGAGAGAGAGAGAGAGAGAGAGAGAGAGAGAGAGAGAGAGAGAGAGAGAGAGAGAGAGAGAGAGAGAGAGAGAGAGAGAGAGAGCGGCCCTTGTGCCACGACAAAAATATAATAACCAATTGGATAATTGAGATGTTTAATGTGCAAAGTGCAGCCGGGCGAGTCGGCCAGCAACAGATGGTTTTTCATTAAATTTTCGCCGGGGAAGAAACCGGGTCAAAGTGTATACACGAGCAGCGAGCTTTCGTACGTACGAAAGGATAGCGTGACGAATCTGGAGCATCTTGTTTGCAATTGGACGGGATGTCATGCGATGATTTAGATTCCGTCGTAGAAACGTCGGTGTTTGGTCGACCACTTGGAGTCGTCCACGGGTCTCTGAACCGTACCGCACGTAGTGCACGTGTGCGCGCGTGTGAGTACACACTTCCGAGCGTGAAGTTTAATTTAACAATCGGAGGCGAGTGAAGGATTGTGCGTTAAACGGCTCTGATGACTGCGCGCCTACGTCTCTTCGCCGGCGGTGGCGAAGGTCTAAATTTAAATACGCGAGTAGAGTAAATATTTGCGATACTCGTTTCGAAACCAGCGCTACGAGTTCCGCAGCTTGTCGTGTGTGATAAAACAGGACCATCGATCCGGGAAAACTGCGTCAGGTCTTCTTTCCAGCGGCTCGCCGCTATAGAATGTATAATGGAGCGCGATATGGCTGATTTACACGACCGCTATCGATCGCGATTACAGGATTACATAATGCGCGGTAAGGACGAATCAGCTGCATGCAGGTGTCACACAAGTGGGGTGCTAAATAATGCAAATGAAGGAAAAATCCAATCGTCGCCGACCGAATCGTGACCATAGCAAGCACTCTGGTCATCCCAGCTGTAAGCCTGTTCATCTGAGACTGCGTTTATCTGTTCTGATGAAGCTCAACCGATCTCTAAAGGAGTTCTCGCCATTCTCTCAAATTAGTGACAATCGTTTTTCGCCTCTCGGAATATGAAGGACATAATGATACTTATGTCGCTGGCCGAGGTTGAATCGAGACAAAATCGTGCTAATTCTCTCTAGCGACAGATGAAAGCGAGAAAAATGATGAAATTTAAATGAATACTTCGCTCATGGGTCGAGAGTGACCGAGGAGGAAGAAGAGAGAGATAGCTAGTCCTAGATGTAAACGATTAAATTCTATTGATGCATTTATAACGAGAACGTATGTGTGTGTGTGTGTATAATTGACGAAATTTCAAGCTGTCACGAGATTAAGGACAAGATGACGGAGAAGAAATGCAGGCTGCGTTCCGGCCTGAAGTTGGCTTCTCTCACTCACTCACCTCGGTGTCTCCCCTTGTTCCCGTTAGATTCCGCGTTTCGACGAGCCTCCGCGAGCCGGAGGATCCCCGAAATGTCGAGGCACTCGTACTGAGTGTTCTCGCGTCTGGAAACGGTGCGCTGCGACATGCGGATCTTGAAGTTCCGCCTCTGCTCCCGGAAGAACTTGATCCTGTCCGTCCTCTGGCTACTCGAGTCCTCCGACGAGCTGGAGCTGTTCTCACTCGTCGAATCGGACACCTGCTGCGCGACACCAGTCGGCGACGGCACCGTCGTCAGCTGCATCTCGTCAGGCCTGATGTTCCGCGTGAGCTCGTCGTGATCCTCGGGATGGATGAAATTGTACAGGGACTGACCCAGCAACTCATTCTGCAACAACACGACTGACGTTTCAGAACCGACTGATTCGAGTTCGGCTGGTTCAGAGTTCAGACGAAACCGGTCCTTGCGTCTCGCGATGTTGCCATCGCGCGATGCCTGACCTCGATTGCGCGATGAGAAAAATTAATTCCTCGAGAACTTTCGCCTCGCTGGTTCATCGATTCGTCGAATGTAACGTTTCGTCCGTTTAATTCGAGGCTTAACTCGAGACGAGAATAATTAATGAGATGACTCGGAACGAGAACGACCGTTGTTACTTGGACCTTGGAAGCGCGAAAGGAGGGCACGTGTTAAACGTTAGATGCGTGCACACCATTTATCCTCCCCGCGAATGATGTTTGATGATCGTCGTTCTTGCGAAACGCGCGAAAAGCGCAAAGTTAATTCTGACCAACCTCGCGCCGTTAATCTCTCCAATTTCCCCCGAGATTACCCGGCGAGGTGTCGCCGCGCGAACATCCGCGTTCACTTATCCGGCATAAAAACAAATATCGTATTCCGCGGAGCGGCGTTATAATCCCCGTTACTTTTCAATGTTACGAGTCCTGGAAGTGACATCTTTCGCCGTCGCGACTCGAGGCAAACGGGATATCATCTCGCGGCGTCTCGACTTTTATCTGAAAATTAAATCGACGCGTCTCTCTCTCTCTCTCTCTCTCTCTCTCTCCCTCCCTCCCTCTCTCTTTCTCCGTACATCGCGGTAATTTGCCGCGCGTTCGTCCCGCGGATGGAGATACTTGAAAGTTTCATGCGCGAACTTCTCGCTGGCAGTCTCCTTAAGGGCCATCTACACTCGGTGGAATTCAATAGTATCGTCCTCCGCGCAGCGAATAGCGCGTTTGCGATACGTGTACATAGATGTTGACGACAACGACGACGACGGTGCACCACGTCGGCGACGGAGCTCGTTTTCCCCGCGGGGGGCTTCTTCTTCAGAACAATACAGCCTGATTGTGAGTGCTTTCTTAAAAAACGAGAGCAAACCCGCGCTCGCAAACAACTCCCGCCCCGTCTGCCCTTCATCCTTCACCTTTTCGCTCCTCCTCCTCCTCCTCCTCCTCCTCCTCCGCCTTTTCCATCCTCCTCTCCTCGTATCTTCATCTTTTCGTCTCCCAGCATCCCTTATACATACAAGCCGAAAGAGAAGGAGGGAGGGAGGGGGTGGGCGCGCGCGAGAGAGAGAGAGAGAGAGAGATCGAGTCGGTCGGCCCCGAGAGTAGAGCCGGTTCGTTACGGCAGAGTGGCGAATTATCGTTACGCCTGAATCTGGAGCGCCACCGACGAACGCGAGAGAGCGCGGCCGCGATCGATAGCGCGGACATTTTTTACATTTTATCCTCGGCGTTGTTACACCACTACCGTCGCCCGGTCGTCCTCTCGTTGTTTTCCCGCGGCAACACGAAGGGTGCTCCCGTGGGAGAACAATGATACGTTACGCATACAGACGAGAGAACCGCGCGACGCGACGCGACGCGACTCTCGACGTCGGTGTCCTTCTAATGAGCAGCGAACTTTTGGCAATTTAAGGAGAGCGACGTGGACCAGAGGAGGCGTTCTCTCGTCCCGTAAGCAAGCCATTACATGAAGGCTTAACAAGGTAGGTAAGTCGGTTTTGATTAATTGAAGACTCCCTACGGCGGGTCCGCCGACGCGTGAAATTACGTTCGACAATGCGCGACGGCGCGCGCGCGGAATTTTTCGCGCGCCCATCGCAGCAACCGTCGCGAATATAGTGCGGATATAGAATCCGGCTATATTTGCATGCCAATTATTTTATTTCCGTTATATATTTGCCCCGAAAAGAATGTTTACGCGGCTCTTGCCCGCACACGCGCTGGCCGTCGCGCACGTGGTGCGGCGCGGCGGGATTTATTTTCAGGGACGTATCCGCTGCGGTCCTGCCGCCTCGATTTTCCACATCCGCGGATCAAATGCCAGATGCGATAACTAGTATGAATCTTAATAATTTAAGAGTGATTTGCGCTCGCTGGGAAGTGGAAACACGTGCGTCGTAGCGCGGAGATTCGGAGAGATCGGAGATAGCGAGATATTCGATCGCGACTTTGTGAGCGAGAGCGAGCGTGTAATTTAATACATCGTCCACATTCAGCGTGGAAAATATTTCGACGCGATTTTAATGTGTAAACGCTGCTGTGCATGCTCGCACGTTCGCTTTGAAGCATCGGCATCGTTGTCGTCGCGCGTTTCTATCGTCGTAACCATCGCTCGCGCTCAGCTAAAACCTCCGCTGCGTATAAAACTGTCGGTCTGAACCGTGACCCCGATCACAAATACAACGTATCGGCGACATATAACACACAATACTTTCCCACATTAACATTTTTATTCTAATTCCACTGCCATCTGCTTATTAATTATTTCCCCTCGGCGATACGTAGCACCGTAGCTGGACGAAAGTTAGCTCGCGTCAATTAGCTTCTTCGCAGCGCAGACTTTGATCCGAGCGAGATTGCCGTGTGGCTAAAATATCTCGTGCATAATTACGACGTCTCCGATAATGCGGAAAGCTCTGAGCGCTGAGGATGACAATGTTGTGCCGGCTACAAAGAGGCACGCAGCGGAACGAGATTCTTTGTTGTATATCTCGCGCTTCGATCGCACAAATTATTCGCGCACAATCCGCGCTCAATATCCGCAGCGGGTAGTCAACTGGGCTGACTTTATTGTAAGATGAAAACCTGCCCCGGGCATTACTCCCTCGCAACGTTCGTTATTTCACCCTCATGTGTGCCTCTGATTAATTGCACGTTTGCTTTTTACGCGATTCTTCTCTCTCTCTCTCTCTCTCTCTCTTTCCCGCAACTCTCTTCCCGTTCACCTCGTCCCGTCTGATAAATTCGCACTCGTCGATGAAGCAGACGGGGGAATTATAATCGTTTATTCCGCCGATATTCGCGGAAGGCAGCGCAACTAGGAACACGACGAATCCGTTTTAATGGCTCTCTCTCTCTCTCTCGCACAGCTTCTGATGTTACACAAACGAAAGCGCGTTGCCGCGCATTAATCGGTATTAGCAGGCAGGTATTGCCAATTAGTGTCAACAAGTCGCGTCGCGGCAGTATTTCGATATTATCAAATTAGCCGTACGTTCTCGGTGGGGCGCGACTCGCAAATGAAACACGATCGTCGTCCGTTTCCGTGACAAATACGACGACAAGTGTCATCATCGCAGCCGAGCAGGATTCTTACGCGTATATTCGTCTGCTTCCCGCCGAGATTTTCGCGAGCGTTTCCCACATCTGACACATCTTCCAAGCGACGCTATGGAAGCTGTACAAATAAATCTGTCAGCGTGACGTTTCCGTCCTGCATTTTCCGCGGATTCGCGCATTCGTGACCGCATTAGAAGAAGAAGGCCGAGCGTGGTCACTCAACGCGGGTCTCATTACGCGCGGACAGGTGGATAAACTATTTTTCGCAGTGCGTAGGATGGACGCGAGCGTTCTTTTCGCGAGCGACCGCGCGGCTCCTCCGTTTCGCGTTATACAAATATACGCGAAACGAGCGCGCGTGTATTGGCAGGTACGTTTCACACAGACACACACACACACACACACGCGCGCGCGCGCGTGCACACACACACACACACACACACACAGAGAGCGAAAAGCAGCAGCAGAGGGCATACAGCAGCGCGCGGTTGCCATGGGAGCGTATTTGCGTTGCACGCACTCATTTGATCGATAATTCCTAACTCCGCGCGCACAGGGGTAGGTCGGTGCTGCAGCTGCAGCCGCGAGATCGCGATCGCTGCCCTTCGTCCCTCTTGCAGCCACCCACCCGGCCAGCCACCCAGCACCCCCCGGCGCCGGCGCACGAAAGTATATTGCCGATGTTTCAATGGCCGGAATATAGATACACACTGAACGAAAAGAAGTAACAGAAAGAAGAACAGAAGGAGGGCAAGTAAAATCGCCGCGGAGGGCGGCGGGGAGGGAGAGGGGGAAGACGGAAAATTCCGCAAAACGGGACCGTCGACGGGACGCGCGCGGGTAAATAGGTACCCGTTAATAACTCCACAGCGAATATTTCAAGCGCCTGGTCGCTCTCTCGAGCGACGCAAAGTACCGGCTTGACCTTATCGCAGACGCACAGGGAAAGCTTATCGATATGTCTCTCTCGCTGCGAGGTAAACAGCATCGAAAAGTCCTTCTCGCAGCTTTTTTCGCCGGTGCGACGCGCTTCGCATTTCTCTCATCGTCGATTGCCGGGATTATCTCGTGGGTGGATGGGGAAGGGAGGTGAGTTCATTGTATAACCAGGACTGACTCTCTCTCTCTCTCTCTCTCTCTCTCTCTCTCTCTCTCTCTCTGTCGCGCTCGCGATAAATTGAATTTGATAAATTGCCGGGTTGATTTTCAATTACCGTGCCGTGTGTCGCGGAGCGGATATAATTACATCGTTCGCGAAATGACGCGAAATAAATTGCTCAAACGTCGAAATTGAAGGTACCGGGGCGCCAATTGCGACGTAAGGGGCTCGCAATCTTTGTAAAATTAATATCCACTCGCTCCGGCGGACTGTCCCTTGTTGTCTCTTAGAATTGTGCCATGAAAAGGAGAGAAGAGGAGACCCACCTGAGCATGACCGAGGTGCTGTTCCACTTGTCGGCTCACGTAGACGATCTTCCCCGTCGCGGTGACCACCAGGAAGAACCCTCCGTTGCCAATCAGTTGCTGTTATTTGATTTGAAAAAAAGCGAAAGAAAAAGAAACGAATCTAGAGTGAGTGTCGATCGTCACGAGATCCGTATTAGATGCGAGTGTTGTGTACTCACGTCGACGAAATATCGTTCCAAGTCGAACTCGTTGAATTGCCGAGGAAGGAAGTTCGTCGAGCCACGTCCGAGTGCTGTAAATAACGCACGACGTACGTGACTGTGAGTAGTGCCCTTCTCTCACAGCCGTGCGTAAATCGGAGTAACATCGAATATGAATAAATTACTAGCTCCGACCTATCGGCGACACAAGTCTTATACGAGTAGACAGCCCCGGTTTTGCACAGCTTTCGCTTGCTCATAATTTGTTTGCTTACAATTAAGTCGAGTACGTCATATAATCGGCAATTTTTATCCTTCGAGTAACTTGGCGTCAGTTAAAAGTAAAATTTCTCATCAAGGTTATTTTTCTTCTTTTTTTTCTTCATCGATTGACGCACGACCGTTCAAAATTATTGCGCTTCCAGCGATCGTCTAGCTCCGAAGTGCTCCGCATTATTCAAGAGGTTAACAGTAAGCTCATTGTATGAATAATATAATAATTATACAACAATTATATATACCGTAATGGAGGAGAGTTGTACATTAATATAGATGTTGAGTTATTGGGAAGAATAATGAAACCGGAGGTGCGAAGAGGACGCTTTAATAACACTTACTATACTGCGTCCTCAGGAAGGCGGCGGCTAACCTCAGGATGGATATCTTGTCCATTCTCCTCGAACTTCCAGCGACGATCGGTAACAGGGCCGCCATCGTCGAAATGTTCGTGTTGAGATTGTCACGCCGTTGTTTTTCTGCCATGTTCCGCGATGCTCGCGGATTGCTGTAACAAAAATGCGAAATTTAGCGACGGCGTCCATCTTTTGTCTCACGGATGGAAAACTCTTCACGTGAGTCTGCTTTTTGTTTTCCGCAATTTTTATGAATTTATCACCAAAAAAAAATATTCTTTTCGTAAAGTGATTTTTCCCATAGTCTCATATTCTAAGTGGAACCTTTCACAGAAAAATGATCCCTCTTTCGATAAAGCGATTAAAGTGAACGATTCATCTAAAATTTATTAGATATCATTCTAACCGTTTTCCTTTTATTTCAAGAGGGTCTCCTCTTATATCAATTATTCATTTTCCTCTTATATAAAGAGAAATATGTTGATTTGAATGTCGGCTTCTTTTGTTCAGTCATGCTCTACCTCCAGACATGAATGAAAAAATAACCGTCATGGGTTAGAATATTCGGAACGCTTTTCAAAAAAAAGGTGTGTGTTGCTGTAATATACAACGAAGATAATTTATCCATATTTGGTCAAGCACAGTTTATAACCTATTGCAAGAAGTTGAATAATATATTTTTTTCTTTTAACTATGTTTCATACAATTGATTATGATGAACATCTTTGTAGCTATGAAGTAATAAAACTGCTTGGTAATATATTTGTTATGGTGATCTTATTTCATTCGTGCCTACTTATTGTAGAACTGGAGCCAGAAGTATATATATATATATATTATTTTTCGCTACACATTATAGTAATTTTTTTCAAATTAACTAGTATAACCAGTGAGGACAAAGTATCGTAAGAATAAATAATAATCTTCTTAAAAAAAGACTAAATAATCTATGTGTAAGAGGAAATTTACATTAAAATCAATAAGATTTGCATTATACATATAACATATAATCCCTCCAACTTTAAGAATAATATATTTATAATATTTTCCTCTTGATCTTAGAGGAATCCTTTCGAAACCATATATAAGAACAAAATCCTCGAAAATTTAGATGCTCTGAAACCCGCTTGTTCTGAAATTACTTTTCTCTGGGTGATATACGCGACAGTAGTGGTCGCTGCATAAGGCACAAAGCACCTTCGCCTGATTTTCTCACCTACTTTATCATCAGTGTTGCACGCATTCATATGCAATAACTATCTATTTAAATACAAATAGAGGAAGCTCGCGCTTCGTTATAATGAACATAGAAACAATGACGGATAACCCGCCTTAACCTTAGTCATTAGTTTCCAAGGTGAGAATTTTTATCTCAATTCTCAATCTACAGGGTGTTCCAGAACAATTTTGACAGAGCTCGTGGAGACGTAGGCGTAGAACGGACTAACATAAAATTCCAATACTGTTTTACGATATTCGCAGTAATTATCGAGTTATTAATGACGGAAATCTGAGGAGTGGGCGCGCGCTGAGATGGATAATTGGAGGAAGCGTAGCAGCGAACGTTCGGCCCAGTCGATCCAGCGACTGTTGGCGGCGGCGAGACGCAGGAGTGGCGAGATAAAATACGAATAGCGCCGCGTTGTCTTTCCCCTCGTCGGCAACAGATTGTTAGATCGACTGGGTCGAGAGAGTGCCGCTTCTTATTCCAGATTCCAGATCGTCCATCTCGATGTGCGCCCGCTCCTCAAATTTCTGTCATTAATAATTGGATAATTATTGAGAATATCGCAAAATGGCATGGGACTTTTATGTTTGTTTGTTCCGCTCAACGTCTCCGCACGAACTCTGTAAAAATTGTTCTGGGACACTCTGTATGCGTCTCACATACGCGACACGAAAATACCGAAATATTCGCTTATGACGCGAAGGGAAACACCGTAATATAGCTTCCCGCGGTTATCGTACAATCAACTCGCAGCACCATCGCGCAGTACGGGCGGAAATAAGTCCGCATCCCTGATGTGGATAGTTCATATACGTGTGTACAACACGTGCGCCATATGTACGCCTCACAATAAACGGTTATTTATTTATTAAGTAATATAGTTCACATGTACGCACGTGCACATAGTTATGTGTCATATATCAGGATAGTCGACGTTATCGTCAAAATTATAGTAGAGATTATGCCGATACATAGTACGCAGAAAATCGCGCAATTATGACGCATTGCGCATACAATGGCGTATAATGAAATTAAAAATCGGGAACAAAGCTGAATCGGATGGCGATCGTTAAAAATTACGATTAACTTGATTACGATTTCATATGAATGTTGCATGTCTTCCACTCGATTACGATCCCTCGCGTTTTTGCAGCCATTGTTTCATCAATCATTTTGTCGTCGCGGGTCAACGCGGTATTTGCATTCCACTTTTCGAGAAATAGCACCGACAGAATTCGAGGGAATTTCAAATCTGATAGGAATCACACAGCGAGAGACGGATTGTTCTCGCCCGCTCGGGGCCGCGGTAAGTATAAAGCGCGAGGCAGAATCGAATTATACCAATTAAGCAGGTCGTTGCTATGCTATGCAGCATATATTAGTTAGGCGTACGTTAGGCGTAAATTGAAGCATCCTCGAGCGTGGCATTGAAGTATGCGCGCGCGTATTGAACACTTTATTAATAATAATCTGAGGCGATTATGCGAGAATCCAAACGCTCCAAAATATGTGATTGTACAATTGGCGATACACAATTGGCATATGTATAATACTCCAACTGCTTCTCCTCACGTGTAACGTAATAATCGCAATACAGATCTTGATATATATGTTGGCGTATGAAATTTCTCGGTTGAGGCGGCAACTTACTACTTCCAATGTTTCCATGGCTTTTCAGCGAGAAACGCTGTCGAGACACGAGGCTCTCTCTCTCTCTCTCTCTCTCTCTCTCTCTCTTTTTCTCGGTGACTCGGGACGTTCCGTTTCAACTTTCGAATCGTTTATGAAGTGGCAAAGGTGTGGGCACGAAATTAGAGGGACATAATTCATAGTAGACACATTTCCCAGCGATAATATCAGTTTCTGGCGGAAATGTTTCTTAATATTCAGTCCGGTTATCCAGTTTTCGCAAAGTAGCGGCGATGCGGTCTCTTCGTGCCGCGATTGTCGTCGGCCTTGAGACGGCCGCCATTCCAACATTTAAATATGTCATCGGGATCTCGGCTTTATAAGCATGACGAATAAAAATATTCACGGCTGTATCGAAGCATTGCGACCATATTGCTGAACGTTGCACTTGTTATCAGGTTCATCGTGTCGCGACAGCGACTTGATAACAAAGATCTTGCAAACTTTTAATCATTTACTACTCGAAGGAGCTGTCGCCGCGTATACGTCCATGGACATCCAAACTTTCGTCCTTAAGCCGGGTAAAGAAGCAAGACAAGTCGGCTATAAATGACAAAAGAAAACCGATTTCTTTACACTCTCAATTCCGTACGATTGACACGCTGCGATAGAACACTGCGATTTAAATATTACTTTGCAAGCGTGACACATCAAACTACATAATCGAATACTCAAGAAACAACGCAACCTTTATTTCCTTCCATTAGTTGATATATTAAACATACGTTAAAAGAGCGTTTATATAACGTATGAACTATTTGTACAATATACACGCACATCTCGTTTTATTGTTACGTTCAGCTCTCGTCATGATGATGATGATGATGATTTCCTGTTATAATTTCCCGTTATGATTTTTGCAGAGAAACGAGCACAGACTATCGATAAAAACTGCCACGCGACTTTGCGTATTGCTAATTTAAAAACATGTCGTCGGCGTTTGAAAATAGTTTTGACGACCTGTTGCTCGTCGTATGTATAAAACGATCGAAAAGTGAGAGAAGCGAGTTGAAGCGATCGCGCGTTTCCGCCATACGTGACGTTGCATTCGACACCTTTCGATCTTTTTGTCTAGCCAGCCGAAACTGTTTATGTGCACAATGCGATCCACTGACTATCGGCGTATCAAAATATCTTTCGAGCGATGTACGTTAGAAAAAGAAAGAGAGAGAGAGAGAGAGAGAGAGAGAGAGAGAGAGGGAGAGGAGGGGGAAAGACTGTTTCTCCGGCAAGAATGCAGAATAGACATTACTCGCGTTTCTTTGAGGTTTTTTTACGAAATTGTATAACCTTTTCTACGAGAAAGAGAGAGAGAGAGAGAGAGGGAGAGGGGCAGATAGAGACACCGTTTCTCCGGCAAAATTCAAAATGAGACATCACGCGGCGATAAAGAATTTCTCAAATGGTTTTAGGGGAATGCAGAATAGACATTACTCGCGCTTCTTTGAGATTTTTTTTACGAAATTGTATAACCTTTTCTACGAGAAAGAGAGAGAGAGGGAGAGGGGCAGATAGAGACACCGTTTCTCCGGCAAAATTCAGAGTGAGACATCACGCGGCGATAAATAATTTCTTAAACGGTTTTAGGGGAATGCAGAATAGAGATTATTCGCGTTTCTTCGGGGTTTTTTCACGAAATTGTATAACCTTTTCTACGAGAAAGAGAAAGAGAGAGAGAGAGAGAGAGAGAGAGAGAGAGAGAGAGAGAGAGAGAGGGGGGGAGAGAAATAATCCTTCCCGTCATTTGACTAAAAAGGTCGCACGATAAGGTAACTCATGCGTGCCTCCGATGTGTGTCAAAGATATGTAAGAGAATGATTCTCCGTCGCGAGAAAACGGAAGCGATTAATACATCACTATATTACGATGTCGCCTTTCGCGCCGTGCTGCTCCCGTTCCCACGTTCCTGTTTTAACGCAACACGGGGCGAAGAATGACTGATTGGCTTTGGTAGAGCCTCAGCAGCTAATAGTTTCGTACTGTTAGAACTATCTCAGGCGCCTCGCGAGCTGTTCCATGCAACGCGAGCGGCGCTTGTAAGAAACCCGGCTCATGATAATACCTTTCGATAGTGCCCGCGACAAAAGTCTGGGAGAAGCTATAAATGAAATCGTAAAACCGTGTGAGAGATTACGCAACGGCCCGACCGCGCTGATTGCGCGTTATGGCTAAATATTTATTTCACCAGGTTGAATCGCGCGCGCGCGCGCGCCTCGATTGACCGTTTCTTGTTCT